CTCCTCTGGAGCTTGAAGAGCGATTTCCTGAAACTGAAGAGCACGGTTTCCTCCATCAAGGCTGTGCTGTTGGATGCTGAGGAGCAATCGGGTCTGAACCATCAGATTCGATTATGGCTCGATAATTTGAAACAGGTGCTTTATGATGCTGATGACTTGCTGGATGATTTCTCCACGGAGGCTCTGTTGAAGCAGCGAAGAAATGATGGGAATCGCTGTCTGAACGAGGTATGCCTCTTCTTTACGCGTTCCAACCAATTGGTTAGTGGTCTTATGATGGCTCATCGGTTGAAGGCCATCAGGACCAAGCTAGATGAGATTAACAAGAATCGGAGGGAGTTTAATCTTGAAACGCGCCTTCAAGATCCGGCTGCTGCGGCTGCGATCAGGCGCGAGAGGCAGACTGACTCTTTCGTTCCACATGGATTTGTTGGGAGGGAGGAAGATAAGAAGAAAATAATTGGTATGCTGTTGTCATCGACCAATGATGAGCAGAAAATCGAGGTTATTCCTATTCTCGGAATGGGGGGTTTGGGGAAAACTGCATTGGCTCAGTGTATCTACAACGACGAGAGTGTGTCCACTTGTTTTCAGTTGAAAATTTGGATATGTGTGTCGGATAATTTCGATCAAGCACTGTTGGTGAGGAAGATGTTGGAGTCTATAACCAAACGTAAAGTAGAAGATCTTGACTTGGATATCTTGAAGGGGGAATTTAAGAAGGAGATGGGTAATAAGAGGTTCTTGTTAGTGTTGGATGATGTTTGGAATCATGGTGACTACAAGGGCAATTGGGATAGCTTGATGAGCTTTTGTTTGCAAGTAGGGGCAATTGGTAACAAAATTATCGTCACTACTCGTCTTGCAGATGTCGCGGATCACTTCGCAACGAAGGGGATTAAACCACACAAGCTAAAAGGTTTATCCGAGCCAGAATCATGGTTTTTGTTTGAACAAATAGCATTCAAGGGTGAAGTGGAAGGTGGTGAAAGATTTGTAAACATAGGAAAAGAGGTCATGAGAAAATGTGTGGGAGTTCCTTTGGCCATAAGGGTGATTGCAAGTGCCCTATCGTCTAAGTGCAACATTGTTGATTGGGAGGCTATAAGAGATAAACAAGCAATGTTTGATGGGGATGACGAGAGAAAGATTTTGGGTACTCTTAAATTGAGTTATGACAACTTGCCTTCTAAACTGAAATCATGTTTTGTTTATTGTAGCTTGTTTCCGAAAGATTCTAGAATTGATGTGAAATTGTTGGTGCAAATTTGGATGGGGCAAGGATTTATCAACTCTAGTCAATCGTCATCTGCTTCATTTGAGGTCGGAGTTGAATATTTCAAGAGTTTGCTGTCTAGGTTCTTTTTTCAAGAGCCCGAAAGTGATGCATGGGGGAATGTAAAGTGGTGTAAGATGCATGATTTGATGCATGATGTAGCCCTGGGGATTGCAAGTGAGGAGATTATGGCTTTAAAAGCTTCAGATTCAATGGAAGGTCGTGTCAATTCTGATAGGCTTCGACACATATCATTTGATTTTGAGGAAAAATCGAGAGAAACTTGGAAAGCTCCACAAGCGTTGGCTAATGTAACAATACTGCGAACTTTTCTTCCTATAAATACACCTTATTATGGCATTGTTGGCATCGAGGAGCAGAACTGTGAGATGATCTTCTCAAATAATACTAGACTGAGAGTTTTAAGTCTTCACCGTGCTAAACTGGAGAGTGTGCCCCGCTCCATTCATAAATTGACACATCTCAGGTACCTAGATCTTTCCAACAATTCTATGAAGGTGCTCCCCTACGAGATTACGGTACTGGTAAATTTACTAGTGCTCATACTTGATTATTGTGATAATCTCGAGCAATTGCCAAGAGATATTGTGAAATTGACTGATCTCGAGTTTCTTAGCTTCAATGGGTGTTCGAGTTTGAAAGGCTTGCCACTTGGTATCGGACGGCTCACTCGCTTAAGAGAATTGTCCCTGTTCATTGTGCCACCTACATCATACTATTCACATGAAGCAGTCGCAGCTAGAATCAGCGAGCTGGAGCATCTCAACAATCTAACTGGGAAATTGGAGATCAAACATCTGGAGTTGGTGAAGGATGAGGCTGAAGCGAAGGCAGCATGTTTGTTTCGGAAGCAACATCTTCGAGCCTTGACATTGAAGTGGAGCTTACCGAGACGAGTTTTTGCCAGCAGGGATGTTGGGGTACTAAAGGCGTTGAAGCCACAAAAGAATTTGAAGGAACTAGAGTTGGATGGTTATGGCGGTCACAGTCTACCTAGCTGGTTCTCGAATTCTCTCCAGAATCTGGTTGTCTTGACATTGTTTAATTTAGGTCGCTTAAAGTACATAGAGGATGACGCTGGGCAGTTTCTTCCATGCTTGAAATCTCTCGTCATTCGCAACTGCCGCAGGCTAGTAAGCTGGAGGTCAACCACAGAGATAGAAATGCCGCAGTTCCCTTCTCTTTCACATCTCCGCATTGAAAATTGCCCGAAACTGGTACGGCTTCCTCAATTTTCGGCGGATATTGAAACGGTTGACTTCACAAAGGTTGACCGCAAACTGTTTGACCAGTTTGTTGCCTCACTTCCACCACCCAGCTCCCCTTCGCGGATCAAGAATCTGACAATCGAGCGGATAAGAGGGCTTCGAATTTTGCCGCAAGGTTTACTGCCACATCTTGCATCCCTTGAATTTTTGTGGATAGTGGATTGCCCGAACATAATGAATCTGTCTCCACCGGCTACTAGTCAACAACAACATCTCACTTCCCTCCAGTTCTCTGCCCTTTCAAACCTCCGTCGCTTTTATATCTTTGAACTTCCAGGGATAATGATGACGAGGAAGAAGAAGGACTATCCTCGTGCATTCCGTCTCCAAGGTACATTCTTCTTAACTACATTTTTTAATGAATCGTATTCTTTGAAAAAAATATGAAAGAGGTCTCCTACATTGATTGATTTTATGACTGCAGGATGTGGTCAGATTGCATTGCGAGACTCACTTGTAACCTATTCCAGAGATGCTTTCTCGACTAGTTAGCAAACGTTCTCTCTTTTATGACGGGTATTTTTGATGCATACCCACGAGACTTATCGCAGCTTCCATAAATATCCGACGAAGTAGGATCACTATCGAAGTCTGCTCATTCATTTGTGAGACCTCTATGGCGTACAAGCTTGTTCTCTTGGATCAAAATTAGACTATTTCGTTTTATGTTTCGTGGCAATAGCTGCATTGCTTCTTTTCCTTGAACTTCCATGTTGTGCGTGCTAGTTTTGTGTGTTATGTACTTGCTTCTTGTAACCTTTGTTGTATTCTGGAGCTGTGCGTACTTCCTGGACATGAAGTAATATCTTAAGGTAAAGGCTCTATTCCTGGAAAAGTTTTTGCCTTGGTATCCTGTCTATGGAAGCAGATATTCAAGCAACTGTATTGTTTTTCAGGATGACATTGATGACGTACAAGCACAAGACTCATGTTGTTGATTCTGATCGAAGGATTATCTCCGATGTCGATGTCGACTTCTACATTAATGATGTATGACACAAGCCCCTGCCTCTTTGATTCAATGTACTTTTGGAGATTGTTAAGCATATACCGTAGGTTCTCAAAAAAAATAAATATATTATCTAACATCTCTGTATCTTTTTGGCCATTGCAGGACGTGATACATGTTGTGGACTCAAACCAGTGACTTGATATGGAGATTTCTTCTTGCGGCAAATTGTAAAGGTATGCTTCCTGCTTATGATGTACTAGAAGAAGATTTGATCTATTAATCATGTTAACCCATGATGATTAAGTGTACTACGTACCTTTTTGCAGCTTGAAGGAGAAGAAGAAGAAGAACAACAACAACAACAACAATTATTCAGTCAGGGAGATGATGATGATGACGTTTTTTATAATTATGATGAGGGCGAGGAAAAGAGAAGATAAGAATGATGAGGACGAGGCAAAAGAAGAACTACCCTTTGGTACTCCGTCTCCGAGGTACATTCTTCATTTCTTCTCGACTACGTTAATGAACATATTCTTTGAATTAATATAAAAGTGGTATCCGACATTGCTTGATTTTGTCACTGCAGGATGTTGTCAAGCTAGTGATCACTCTAATGACACTATCAAGTCTGCACATTCATTTGTGAGACGTCTATGGCGTACAAACTTGTTCTCTTGGATCAAATTTCACAATTGCATTCTATGTTTCTTGCCGATAGTTGCATCTTGATTGTTTTCGACCACCAGCTTGAACTTCCATCCTGTCGCACTAGTTTTGTGTTTTTTAATTTCGTTCTCGTACACTTTGTAATATTTTGGAGTTGGGCCTGATAGTGAGAGATTTTGTAATAATGCAGCTGTCACTGGCTTGAAGTAACAGATTCATTTGCAGCAGCAAACTCCTCAACACTGTCTTGTCTTCTGTTGTTGTGTTCTTACAAGCTCAATCTGGCATAGTTTCATAATGGCGAAATTTCGGTATATACTCGGTGGGAGATTCAGAATAATATATCTGCTATGAAGAAGAAATTTCTACGATATAAACAAGGAGTGGCTAAAAACAGTGAGATACTCCATCCTGTAACTTTTGTTTCTTACCTCTCAGAACCCAAAAGAGACTCCTATTGGAATTTTACTGTATGAGTACCATATGATCCCTATACATCTGCTTGCCATTAGTACGTTTCCTGTGCTCCTTGAGAGCTTTGAACTTCTCTTCCAAATCGTTTGCAATCAGCCAAGTATGATGGACTTGGCTCGGTAACTCTGCTTCTCAACTCTCAGACCATAGTAGCATCAACAGCACCCCAGCTGGTGCATAGAATGTACTTACAAGGTGAAGGCTTCACTGTTCCATTTCTTCCCTCCAATTGAATCATCCTTGCATTGCCTCTGGTACAAGCAACCTCATTGTTGTCGGGAAACATAGACTTGCATTGTCTACTGAACGTATTGATCGCACTATTCCTGATAGATTAAGACGAAACTAATTCCAAACAGACCGAGGTAAATGGACGAGACACAATGAAAAGGAAAAATACTCTGTTTCTCTTTTCTTTTGAACCTGATGGGAGAGACTGCGATGAACAACATTGAATGAGTTCATACTAGATTGAAGGTTCTTAACGAAAACCGGATTCCTGACAAAATGCATACATACATCTATATTTTGGTGTTACTATAAACAATAGAATTTCCCACAGCCTAAAACTGTTTTCCTTCTTCTCTTTTCCTTCCCTTCTTGGCTTTCTTCCTCTGCTATCTGAAATTCTTCAACAGGTGGGAAGAAGTGGAAGGACTCGACAAGCTGCTCGTTGCACCTGTAGTAGAAGAAAATTTCCCTTTCTCCTTACCTTTCTCAGGCGTCCCGCATTCGCTGAAGTCCAAAACTCGGCCTTCCTTCTGCTACAAGAAAAGGGAGAAAAAAAGATTCCAAAGTGATTAAGTAGCTATGCATACTGCATATACATAATAAATCCATTGTAAAAAAAAACCATCAACACATACAGAGATATTGGCCAAAACGGAGCCACTAATGTCGCGATCTCCATCGTTGTTTTCTTGGTCCGAGACGGTGTTCTTCTGGCACCGCCTTCCTTTGGATATGGTTTCAGGGGTTTCATCCCCAAGAACTTCCAACGCATCAGCACAAGCAGCAGCAGTTTGCTCGCTGAACTGCTTCAAAAGTGTAATGGCATCATAGCTTCTGTCCCCCGGGCTCAGAAGATATCCCATGTCCTGAAAAGACGAAGTGATTGATATGATTCTCCAAAAAGAATGCTGAAAATTTTGGAGAACGACATGTAAGAACTAGAAGTGGTATTAGTACCTCAACTGAAATTTCTGTGTCGACCCTTGGACCGGGGAGGAAGGAGTTCATGAACCATGGAGATTTCCATGCCGAGGGAGATTCAATGCTTCTCCTGAAAGGAGTTCCACCAAAGCTGTAAAACAGAAGAAAAAGGACATGCGCAATTTGCAAGTGGATGCATTGATGTTAGATTTGAAAATTGAAATTCTAGCCGTTTTCTGCAGAGAGCAAATTGACAAGGGGCACAACACAACATACAAGAATGCACAACCGAAGTACTCACAGGTCATTCCCAGTGGCGGTAGTAGTACTAGAGGTAGCAACTGTATTTTCTGCAGGTGCTGATAATGAGGGCACGGGTTTCGTTGCAGTAACAGCAACCGACGATTGACCTTCATTCTTCTTGTTCACAGTAGGTGATGACGATCCAGCTGTCACAACCTTCTCTGATAAAGTAGCCAAGATTCTTCGATGCAAATTCCTTGGAGTTCGAGCATCCGGTGAAAATAGTAAGAGATCACTCAAGCTTTCTTCGCCAATAAGTAATTCAGAATGCTGTTGCAATCAGTGTAAAGGAGACAAAGCTATAGGTCAAAGTAATCATACATTGGAAGCAAAAGAACTGAGTAAACAGAATAACAGAAAACTGAACTCACAGTTCGGGGATTACTAAAACTGGGATGATTATCTGTCGCCTTAGTATCACCATCCTCTGAGATAGTAGAACAATCTCTTCCCTTCTCTTCTTCTCCTTTATCCGATGGAAGAGCAGGGTCCACATTTTCCTTATCTTCAATACAAGATTTTTGGTTAACTTTGGATAATGGAGACATCAAATACGGTCTGTTGCCAGACTTGATATCCTCGTACACTACATCCAGGCGTTGAAACTCTCTAGTCAAACTGGAAGTCATGTCAATCACAAGCTTTTTTTCGTCTCTTCTTTCTGACAAAGGCGACAGTAAATCCCGGGTCCTCTTCTTCAAAATGGAAGGTGTGCCCATGAAAGTCTTGGCAGCACTCTTGAGAACTGCATCGGGACTGGTGGTACTAGTACTTCTCGTTGGAGAATCCCACAGCCGAAATGGACTGATGCAGTTTGCTGAAGATAACATGAATTGGCGGATACCAAGTGGACTGTACTCTTGCTGAAGATCACTATCAGGTTGCACGAGATCACAACTTAGGAATGGAAGATCCAAGCTTGGGAACCGTGGAGGCTCGTAGCATAAAGATCCTGTATCATCGCCTTGTTGCTGATCTACTCCACCATCATTCATCTTCTGCAAATCTGAAGCTTCTTCCAAATATGATTCTGCTTGCATCATATTCCCACCACCACCATCACAGGAGTGCATAACACTTGCTATGAGATCTTCATCATTAGGTGGAATAAGCACCTTATCAGGTCTCTGGTTGATTGATGATCCACGTAAGTCAACCATATTCGACGAGTCTTCTCTATGATGATTTTGAGGAGCGATGTCTCCACTGGTTGTTGCCTCTGGGAACAAGATCTTGCAACATTCGTCGTCAGGTATGAGAATTTGTTGTCCAGGTGTGGATGAACATGTTGCCATATCTTCCAAAGGAATAGGAGCAGTGAATCCCATTTCCTGGGTTTCATGAGCACCGATACTACAATGATTTGGCATGCCTGAAAAGCCACCTTGTCCAAATTCCAGTGGATGATGCAAGTTGGAAAGCGCCTCCAAGTTGAATTGGTAATCACTACTTGCTGGATTATCAACTGCAGCCATATGAGCGTAATTCTGATGGAGAAAGCCGGTGGAGGATCCATCTGCTTCACAGGGTACTTCAGGAATGGAAAACTGGACATTTCCAAGAGACGTGTAATACTCCTCGGAACAATGGACAGCAGTATAGGGGTATCTTTCATTTTCCATGCCAGATTCTTGTGCTAAATGGAATTCTTCTCCTGTACGGATAATAGAATTATCGCCCAAACCGTTAGCTGACTGAGAACAGGCCATGATTGTTGACTCCTGACTGCACTCTGATATTTCCTCTGCTTCTGTGACACACTTTCGACTGCTGTCGTTATCATCCCCACTATTTTGCAACCTGGAAGAAGATGAAGTTGTGGGTTGATTTTGATGCATGACTAGTGGATGGCCTTGAAACTGTTCTAGTAGACCAGATGCCAAGTAAGAATCCAACTTCTTCTTCACAGAACTATTCCAATGGTTCTTTATAGCATTATCCGTCCTGTAAACCCCCAGAATCAAATGAATCAATTATAACTCAACTGGCAACAAAAACTCCTCCAATCAAGCCAACTAAATAAGTTAACAAGACCTGTGTGCTAAGGTAAAAGAACTGATATTTTAAAATATAGGACATAATAAACCTTCCAGGCAAGAATTTAGAGAGCTCTGCCCATCTGTTGCCATAAATTTGATGAGCACGAACCAATGCCAACTCCTCATCCTGAGTCCAAGCCTGTCTGTTAATTGATGGGTTAAGATGATTATGCCACCTAAATATAAAAAAAGCGAGTCAGGTCCAAATGTTGGGTGGAAGTACTGGCATTGAGTGGAAGTTTGAACAAACACAATAAAGCATCAAGTTAAATTTGAAAATCAAAAGATGAACAAAAAATATTTTCAACTCGTGAATCGGTAAATTTTGGAGTAAGTTCACAACCATTTCATGTTTACCTTTCTCTACATTGCTTGCCGATACGCCCTGGTAAATGTTGGGCAATTGTAGACCACTTTTTAGGTCCGTATTTATTGACCAGTTCAACAATGGTTTCATCTTCCTATTTGGAGAAAATGCAAGATAAATGAGAAATATACTTGCTGTACACATTCAAGCAAAAAGAGGGATAAAAGGATAGAAAAAAGAGCAACATTGACCAATCCAAAGAACTATAAAGATACCTCCTTTGACCAAGGTCCTTTCACAAGTTCAGGATTTAAGACTTTCTGCCACCTGTGCAGGCATTGTACATCAGTTCGGTCCTTGAAACACTCCGCTGCAGATGGCCATGACAGAATTAGAGAAACAGAATGGTTTCCAAATTTGTCTTTGAGGAAGCTAAGAATATACCAAAAACATAAATGAACTGCAGTCACCCAGAAGGGTTTCTGTAAACTAAGAAAGGCCATTACGTAGCAAAGATCCTAGCTGAACTTCAATGCCACAAAAACAATGAAGTAGAACTGACTCAATTGTAAACAGAGCTCAAGATTCAGGGCATGCCAGCAAGATACTAGATATTGCATTGTGACTAGGAGGTTGTTATAAATTTCACGCCATGCTGAGCAAACAAAATATGCAACTACTGCAGCCTTTTGTATAAGGCTACTCAAACTCTGAAATGAGAAGAAACACATTTTAAGTGATAAATTTCACCGCAAGCTCAGTTTGTCGCTTCGTTGATCAAATATTGATAGGTTTGTCAGGAAAATATCTACAGTACAAAGTGTCGGTGTTCATTAGCTCAACTAACTTTGATGCCACTATCTCATGCTAACTTGCTATGTTCGTTTAGGTTTAAGACTTGCAAGTTGTCTACATGAATCTACTTAGAAATTTAGAAACCTGAAAACATTCACTTCGCTGCCAACTAGTTCCATTATCCACAAGCTGTGGCAAATGAAACCCCAACAGAGAGAAGGCACAAATAATCTTGAATGGATACATTGAAACAAAGGCAAACAATTCAAGGAGAAGAACGTTCATGAAGACAAAACATGAATATATTCACGGAAAAAATTATTGACAGGAAAATATCTACAGCACAAAATGTTAGTGTTCATTATCTCAACTAAAAGTTTTCATGCCACTATCCCATGTTAACTTGCTGTGTTCATGTAGGTTCAGGACTTGCAAATTGTCTACAATACTCGAACTAGAAATTTACAATCAGAAAACATTCACTTCTCTACCAATTAGCTTCATTATCTATAAGCTGGGTAAATGAAACCGGAAGAGAGAAGGTACAAATTATCTTGAGTGATACATGGAGACTAAGACAACAAGAATGCTAATAAAGACAAAGCATGAATATACTCACGTACCAATTTTTTTCCAGTTCTTTCCCTTGAATCGCTGAACAGCCTGGGATAAAATCTCATCCTGAACACACGAAGTAGCTTTATTCATTAGTACGAGATGGATGTCTGAAACCCAAAGGCGTCAGGACAATCATACTTAAATAAAACAGATGACAAGAATGTCACCTCTTCAGCTGTCCATTGTCCCTTTGTTGAACGCCGAGTAGGGCCACTCGTTCTCCTGTAAGTTGCGCAAATATTATAATTCCTGAATCTATTTGCCTTGATAATACTATCCTTTCATGGTAAAAGCATTAAAATACAGACATGCCACTACTAGTTTCAAACCAGCTCAAAATAACAAGCTTCAGAATTCAGATCATGAAAAACTTATTTTGTTTTCAACTTCTCCAGAAATATGGGATTGTAAAAGCACCAACATAAATAGACAAGTTTAGCACCACAAATATCTGATCCAAGCTCAGTAATTGTTAAAAATGTGCTGGAAGGTCAAAAAGGGAGCAGAGTTCGATCAAGCACAAATACACACAAGTAAGGATTAAGAAGGTTACCCATGGAGTGGCCGGATTTTCTGAACACTATCATTCACCCCATCCGAGGGAGCAGACGCTGACTTCTCACTGCCCATAGTTCTTTGTTAGAAGAATAAAGCTGCATACCTCAATCCCAACTCTATGATCGTTTTCTCTGCTGTTTATTCTCCACGACATCATACAGCTCCCTACAAAGAGGTTTCCATTTCACGCTTAAACCTTCAAAGTCGCTGGCTAATTAACCAAACAAACAGACAAATTTAACCACACACGGAGTAAAAATGGTAAAAAGGAAACAACTTTGGCAGCATATAGACAGAATCAACTAGCTTCTTCAGCCGGAAAACTCTCTAGATTGAGGTGGGGGAGGGGAGAATCAGGAAATGAACTTTAGTCGCCGCAGCATAGCAGCCACCAGTAAGGCTGGCGGTCGAATAGAAATTCAAATTATCACAGCTATGTTGACTTTGAGCGCAAATGCAAAATCCAAATGCAAAATCAAACTACCACCAATTAGTAATTAGTCCTGAATCCAAACCCTAGAACACGATCGATCACCATGAACTCTAGCACAGTCGAATACCCAAACAGATTCGCCAAAAACCACTGTAGTTCCAGAGTCACTCGCCCTCCCTCCCACTTCCGCCCCCACCAAATCACACAAATTCGAAATCCCCCAAAAAAAAATGTTCAAACCAAACTCACTCACCGAACTGAGCTCTTCAATGCGCGAAGGAGTTGCAACGGCGCCGGCGCATTTGCACAGATCCGAGTAGAGTAGGAAATCCAAATCTGGGGGAAACGGCACTGGTTTGAAGAAATGAGGATTTATGAATACTTTGATGATTCTCTGCTTTCTCCTCTCCAATTGAGTTTGCTTTTTTTTTTTTTTTACAGTAAATTGAGTTTGCTTTGAAGGGCGCTTTTCCCCTTTTTTCCTAGAGAGAGAGAGTAGAGAGAGGAATTTAAACGGTCTGCAAGAGAGAAGAGGGAGGGATTCAAACGAGAAGGGGCGGACTATTTCCAGGTGGAAGGAAGGAAGAAGAGTTTTTTTTTTTTAACAAAACCCTATTTTTCGTTTATTTAATTTTTTAGTATTAAAATTGTTATTATTGCTGTTGTCGTTCGGTGCCGTGAGATCCGACGACCGACGGTGGAGATCCCGACGGGCCGGATCTTCTGCCGTCTATTTCTAACTTCTTGTTTAGTTGGGCCCGGAGCCCACCACCGGGCCCATTCCTTCCTGGTTTTTCAAATGCTGAACGGCTGGATTTGTTGTATTATTAATTTCCATCGATTTTAATCGGTAACTACTTAATATATTTTCAAAAAAAAAAAAAAACTTAATATATTTTCATTTAATGAGACCAATGTCAAATTGTCAATAGGTCATTTCTTATTTTTTCCATCTAGGCTGAGTTTAAACAAGGAATCAAAAGGGAAATAAGTGTGATGAAGATTATGTACTTGTAGTTTGGTGAATGTTAACAAACCATAACTTGAGTTGATGATCCTCCAGACGAAAGAACATTTAAAGGATCACAGTTCATTGGACATTGATATGATTGAACAATACGATATGATGGCCTCCAAAATGCGGTCGAACCAATGTGACCGGTTGATACAGTATGGTAATCATGTTATCATTTTCTCTGGGTTTAGGATATTTGGGAGAGTGATGAGTATGGTAAAAATCCCAACCGGGATATGAAGGGTTGCCTCTATCCATAAGGTACGATTTTTAGGGGCGAGGGTATACGTACGATAGCCCGAGACCGGGTGACCAGGATTATGATAGAGTCGTGAACTACGTTCACTTTCCGAAAAGAATATTTCCACCCTCAACAAGCCTAGGGTTACAGGAAATTTCTCCCGAGGATAAAACTATCACCACTTTAGGTTCCAGACTCAAGAACACTAAAGCATACTTAGAAATTTTTGGAAGAAAGAAGAAGAATATGTTTGATGGTATGTGGCATCATCCACCCCACACATATTTATAGGGGCCGAATCCATGCATTGTTTCATGAAAGGTTGCATTTATCCATACGAAAGGTTACCTTTATCCATATGAAAGGTTGCCTCTATCCATATGAAAGGTTATCCTTATCCATATGAAGGGTTGCCTCTATCCATAAGGTTATCCTTATCCATAAAATAATGCAACCGCCACTAGGCCAAAGGGATGTGTCCCTTCACGGAATTATAATATCGGTTCGGTCGGTCTAATACCAAACCGGTTGGTCGGTCCAACCAAAAACCGGTTTGACTTGGTTAGTCCGGTTCAACCAAATTTCCAACATTCCTCCCCCATTTTAGTGTATTCATAGAATTCACTAAAATCACAACATTCTTCCAACAAAACTTAAGCATAAATGAAAATGTCGTGACGATTGAATTTTCACCTTAGTATATTACACTTGACGAATACTCGAATACAAAGGGTGTCGGAAACGATTGAACCCATTGACTCATATGAATATTCGAAGATAATATACACTTAAGTTTTCAAAACTTCTAAGCGCCTTGACACTATTATCCGCCATGTGTCCAATCCTTCTCATAAGCGCACACGAAACCAAAGTCCGGGTTTCTTGAAGCGGCTACACTTCATGCTCACGTAGGTTGAATCTCTTATTCGTGTACCCGCATAATACACTTTTTCAAAGATTCAATTAAGAAGTTTTGAACTTCATCCTCTTCTCTCATGCAGGATAACAAGCACATACCTCGGGATGACAAATTGTGTGCTTCAATTTTTGAGAATGAGCTTTCCACATTGAATTCAGCCTCTAACGTTGTATTAGAGGGGAATTGGGTATCCCATGATCAGAAATTATATGGACTTTAAACCCATCCCTTTCACAGACTTGATCACCAAGTCACTAGTTAACCACTTCGTCAAATGATCAACCAAATTATCTCGAGTCTGGTCATATTGTTTAGACACAACACTATGAATGATCAGTTCACAGCTTTTACCGTGCCTTACTCCCACATGACCGTACTTGTCATTTTCTCTTGACTATATGCCTTAGCCAAATTAGCATTACTATCACAAAAGATAGTAATAGGTGAGATTGGTTTAGGCCATAAATATATGTCATAAACCAAACCTCTCAACAATTATGTCTCTTCTCTAAGAGAAATCAAGGCCACACAAATTTTGATTCCATAGTGAAACTTAGTGATGCAAGTTTGCTTTCTAGAGGCCCAAATTATGGCACCTCTCCCAAGCAAGAGGACCCATCTCAATGTTGAAGTATCACCTTTAACATAAGAAATCCAACTAACATCAACAAATCCTTTCCAAAATTGATGGAAAGCCACTATAAGTCAATACAGTGTGCATTTGACATATCCTAGTACACGCCTCATTTCATTTCAAATGATGAGAACTAGGATTCATCACGTACCAACTTAATTGTTTTATCGCATATGCGATATCTAGCATCATGCAAGACATGCATACATCGAGCCCCCAATTTAACATGGAATACTCCAGTTGTAAAACTGATTTCCAGTATTAACCATAAGTTCCATACTTGGGTCCATTGGGGTCTTTAACTCACCACAATTCCTACTATGGAATTTATGCAAGTACCTTCTCATGCAGAAAAATTGAGAGAAGGATTCTTTCTTTGTCGTTCCTCTTGATTCAATATACAGAATCACATTTGCCTCCCCCATGTCCTACATGGAGAATCGAAATAACAACTTTTTATCAAAGTTTACTTATCTTTTATTGGTTCCAAAGATAAGCATGTCTTATACATACAAATGTACGATGACTTCATTACCAGAATCATCGTAAATTGTGTACACATTTTGTCTCTTTGGTTTAAAATAACATAAACCACTTGACAAAATCACTTACCTTTGATTGGTCCCAAAGATAAATATGTCATTTACATACAAACACAACGACTCGATTACCAGAATCATCAAACATTGTTGTTATACAATTTTGTCTCCTTGGTTTAAAATAACATAAACCACTAGACAAAACCACACCACCAAACCACTAGACAAATCCAAATTTATCTAGAACTTCGTAAATGTCGAATAGAGAATTAGACTAATTAACCATTGAGTATGTGACCTACCCAAAGGCAATTTTCATTCTTCTATTTCTCCATTTTACGAATCATTCTCCTTCTTCCTCATCTTTGAATCATCCCTCTTCCAAGTTACCTTCCGGATATGGAATACACCATGAGACAAGTACGAAGATAACCCATCTTCTACTGCCATCGATGAAAAACCCATCATCGAACATTCTCATAATTCCATAGACCGGAACCGATTTCTTGTAAAGAACGGTTCGAGCCATCGTACCGGAAAATATTCTTTTCGATTGTTGGGATTTTTAGGGGCGAGGGTATACGTACGATAGCCCGAGACCGGGTGACCAGGATTATGATAGAGTCGTGAACTACGTTCACTTTCCGAAAAGAATATTTCCACCCTCAACAAGCCTAGGGTTACAGGAAATTTCTCCCGAGGATAAAACTATCACCACTTTAGGTTCCAGACTCAAGAACACTAAAGCATACTTAGAAATTTTTGGAAGAAAGAAGAAGAATATGTTTGATGGTATGTGGCATCATCCACCCCACACATATTTATAGGGGCCGAATCCATGCATTGTTTCATGAAAGGTTGCCTTTATCCATACGAAAGGTTACCTTTATCCATATGAAAGGTTGCCTCTATCCATATGAAAGGTTATCCTTATCCATATGAAGGGTTGCCTCTATCCATAAGGTTATCCTTATCCATAAAATAATGCAACCGCCACTAGGCCAAAGGGATGTGTCCCTTCACGGAATTATAATATCGGTTCGGTCGGTCTAATACCAAACCGGTTGGTCAGTCCAACCAAAAACCGGTTTGACTTGGTTAGTCCGGTTCAACCAAATTTCCAACACGTTATGGCGTTTTCCCCTTCCCCTAAGTGGGTATTTCCTCTTCCCTCTCAATAGAGAAGGTTTTGTCATGTTTCTGCTCCAGATCTTCTAGATCTGGTTTGGCTCTGCTCTGTTCTGGGTTCGGAGGATGCATCTTGGGTTTCTATCCAATTTTGGTGCGATCATCTTTTAGGGTGATTGCATTCACCGATTCCCCATCCGTTGTCGTTCCTCGGTGCGTCGATTGGATGTTGTGGAGTAGGAGTCTCCTCTGGTTGCTGAGACGATTGCACCATTGTTGCAGTAGTTTTGATATTCATCTAGGGTTGATTTTGTTTCTTTGCTTGTAGGGTGTTGGGGTTGTTGTTGGGGCTGCTGATTTGGGTTCTGGTTTTGGGATTGTTTGGGTTGTCTCTTTTGGCGTTTGTTGTTGCAGGTCATTTGTTCTGGTCGGTTCTGCTCTTCTCTCCTTTTCTTTGTTTGTGGCTGTTGTCAACCCTCAGGTGGATCTCTTCTCTGTTGTGTTCATGGTTCTCTCTGCTCCAGTCCCGGTTGCCGTTTTTCAGCTCTGAGCAGTCCGAATCTCATCCCTGTCCACCGCCGCGCAATCCCTCATAGGCGATTCACTGTGATGGGTGTCTTTGAACTACCCCCAGAAGGCGGCATATGGTGTTGCTTTGCTCAATAACCATGGTCAAGGCTGGGTTTGGGCGAGCTGAAGCTCTGCTGTATCTCACTCTGTTTGATGCGATTACATTGGCTGCTTGATCCTCTGTTTTCAGCTCTTGAAAAGGGTCCCCTGTCTTTCTGTTCATGTTGTATAGCGTTCTGTTTGCTTTTGGGCTTTTTCTCTTCATTTTCGGTGTATCTGGATGTTTGGGATTTCTTTCTTGTAGTTGATTTTCAGGGTGTATCTCTTTCTTTTGTAACCGAGTTTCTTTCGGAGTGAAATATAAGTAACCTCTTTGTCAAAAAAAAAAAAACAAAAAAAAAACCATCAGAGCTAATTTCGACCCATACCTATGTGTGAAATTCATATCTTCATGCAAATTCCCTCCCATACTAGTTTTCAATTCTTATGAGTCATGCCTATTGTAATTTATAAACCTAGTTCCCAAATAGTACTCGACTAGGAACATTTAATAGCAACCCTATGGTTATATCAAATGTAATACCCACAAATACACATGCAATAGTAGTCAATAATAGCACTACCATAACAAAGAAGGGAAATGGTGGCCAGCAAAAAGCTTCAAATAATACCATGCATTATAAAAGGCTCAAAGCAAAATTTCTTTCTACGGAATATAACAACTTCACCAAGTTTAACTAAACAAACATTTACTAAACAAACAGTTCATTCCCTCACCATCCTCTCTAGTCTCAATCACCATAAGACAATAGCATAGGCGAGAGAGAGATCATAAAGAGGCATTAGAAGCTCATCACAAGGTCTGTGCATGGGAAATCAATAACCTCATACTCCTTTTGGGAAGTCTTCTCCTAGCAAAGCTGGTTTTGCTGAGATTCAAACTCAGGCTCCAACCTTCTGGAACTTGTTACGACCACCTCTTCCCGAATCATTATCCCTAGAACGAGGATGCTTACCGCCACGGTGGAACCTGCCTCCCCTGGTCGGATAATATGGAGAAAGAACCATTCTTGAATAAGATTCTGGCAATATGAATCAGAACACAATACCAGATTTTCAAGGTACTGATGTAAATAGCTAAAAACCGACCTTCCTCCTCGATTGCTGAAGCTAGCTTTGCGGTTGTCTTGATTGGTTCGGACCTGGGCCCAATACTCCGCTTCCTTATCGCCTACATGCCCCACACAGAATGTTGGTCAATTATAGTTGGCTAATCAAAAGTCTGAGCTGCTGAGAATACTTAAGAGGATTGCTATATCTAACTCCTGATTACTCGGCAATTAATTTACATCACCACACTAAACATGAAAGGAGCAACTGTTCAAGATCATCCTTAATTCATGCTGCTATCACTATTTGTCCATTTCCACTCTCATATATAGAGCAAAGTATAGAAGAATTAGTCAGTTAAAGATGGGTGAAAGATTGTGTTTGTTTACCATATAGAGCAAAGTATAGAAGAATTAGCCATGTTAAAGATGGGTGAAAGATTGTGTTTGTTTACCATATATTGGTTCTAAAGAGACGATGAAGTTTTTAACAGTCAGTCCTCCCTCCTCTGCCAAGATTGAAGCAGCACGAGCCTTTTGACCAGCTTCAGGTTTCTCGAATCTCGCATATCCTGAATCCTCTCCCATTTTAAAATCAATATACTGGAGAGAACAAAAACAAGTCACACACAAAAGAATTAAGAGGCATTGTAATGCAAAAAAAATCATTATCGAAAATATAACAGATGTAACAGAAAGGTACCTTCACAGCGCCAAATTTAGAGAAGACAGCCTTGAGATCCTCTCGCAACATGATGTTCTTGTCATTCTTGCAGGCAGAAAGGTCAAATTTGTTACCCTGTTTCACATTCTTCTCAACAAAATCTTTGTTTGACTCCTCCCCCTCATCAGTCTTTGTTTCCTTGTTTTCAGTGACATTTTCATTATCCGCCTTTTCAACCTTCTCAGTATCCATAGCAGCCACTTCTTCCTTGTTATTATCGGCATCATCTTCTGAAGCCTTCCCCTGTCCTTCTTCGGTAGTTTTCTCCACGGAACTTGTAGGCATTTCTTCAGCTGCTTTAGGCCCAGTCTCGCCATCTTTAACAGATTCCTGGTTGCCATCCTGTTTTGCCTCATCTCCCGTTGATATGCTTTTCAATTTAAAAGCAACAATCAACCCCTTCGTGTACCTGTGATCATACCACAAGTTTAATATCGTCAACATACCAAAAGGGGACTCTTGGTCAAAATATATTTTTTTTTTTTGTTCAGACTCGGGTCAAAATATAATTGCATTGCTAATATCTTACTCTGCCTGTGGGCTCGAGTTTTTGTTATTGTCATTATTCCATTGGGGATTAGCAGCTCTAAATTCTGCTAATTTACTCTGCCTGTCTTCATCGAATTCCTTCCTGAGTTGTGAAGAATGTTCAGCATTATCAGGCAGAGTTACAATATACAAGTCAGAATATACAATATAATGTAATATAACATGACTCAATATGGTATATTTCCACTCCATATAGGATGAGAGGAACTGCAATCAAGACTCACTTTGGTTTCAGTTCTAGCTGTACACCTTCAAATTCCAAGATTTGACCTAAGACTTTCTCAGCCTCTTCATCGGTTGGAAACTCAACCAAAGCAGTGCCACACAATACTCTTTTGTTAGCTATGTGGTTAGGCAACCTCAGACTAGTGACCTGAAACAAAAAACAAAATTAGAACACAGAAACACCAAATTGAAACACCCGCCCACAGAGCAGCACCAAATCGAAGCATGTAAAGTAAACAAGTTGCTCACACACACACACTATTCATACTAAGAGGGGGGGAAAGTAGCTTTACCTGGCCATATTGACCGAAGAATGTCAGCAATGCATCGCGACTCACATCATAGGGCAACGGCGATGCTGCAATCGTTCTTCCATCCAATTGCTCCACCAACTCTTCTGGTTTCATTAGAGGACCAATCCTACCAACTCTCTTACCTATAAAACATCATGGGCCAGAAACAAATTGTTGTCAACAAGACATTTCTAAACTGGCCGTATAAGCACAAAGAACTCAACTTTGCATCAAATTCACAATTCCCATGTCACATATAAAGCGTACGCCATTGCAACTTTGCTTAGAGTTCACAACTGAGCCAGGAACAAGAAGGCAAATCAGAGGAAGCTGAAAAGAGGGTTACCATCTTCAGAGAGTTTAAGAGAAGCAGATTTTGCAAGAGTATCAGCAACTGCCTTCAAAGTATCCTCTGAGATTTCATCCTGCTTGGCCTCTTGCAGTTTCAGGTAACCCCTCATTTTCTTGAATGAGCATATCAGAGCCAGGCTTACCACTGTTCAACCCATGTCAAGAAAGACACCTATTCTGATTTAAAAAAATGAGGACAGAACAAAAACAGCAAAAGGTAGCAACTAGCAACTTTTCTTCTTGGTTTTTACAAAGGATACATCCATCTTCGCTAGATGCAACGGTGCTCGATAAGAACTTGTCCCGCGGGAGATTGCTATCACTGAAGTAAAACTCCACCTGAAATCATCCCCAAAACACATCATCAATCGATAATACAGTTTTAAGGGTAAAGGGTAATGATTTATTAGACGATGGAAGAATCTGATTATCAAAGCAGAGGAAGAGACCTGTCGGAGGACTTCCTTGGCGGTGGCTTCGTCCAACGATGGTGTCGCCATTGAAGCACCGTTTACAGAGACAGAGAGGAACACAGGGAGGCGAGGGAAGAGGGAGAAGGAGGAGTATAAATTAGGGTTTTCGAGAGAATTTGGGCGTCGAGGCGTAGTGGGGGTTTAAGGAAGTTGAGTTCGAGTGAACTAAGCGGTTTTATAGGTTCCACTAAGAACCGGTTTTCGCCAGTTCGCGGTTGGAATTTCATTTTTCAGTTACTACTCTCCATTAGTCCTCACTTCCGCAGAATCAGAAAGAGAGAGGTCCCATGACTCGTTATGACGATGCGACAGTCATGAATTGTAATCTAGATGCGATGCAACGCCTATCTCGTACAATAGTCGAACTATTGTAATCTAGATGTGACAAAGCGCTTAAATCGTTCAATAGCCGAACCATTTTGATAGTGTTTATTTTGCGTAGAGAGTTATTTTTCCTTCTCTCCCTAATGAACAAGGGGTTTTCGGTCTATTCTCGGTTTTTGGTTGATCCCAAACCGAATCGGGTTCGTTCTCGGTTTGCAACACATTGAGCATTTAGCCAAAAGGAGAATATAGACCAGATTTCCATTTACTACAGAGACATGCCAAGTTATGCTTCTGCTGTGTCCCAAAGAAACCAAGCAAATAACTTTGAAACAATTTTATGGTCTCCCACTCCAGAGTTTCAAAATGTTAGGGTCAGTCTCCCTCCCTTTTCTCACTCAGAAGTCAGAAGTACTCTTTAACCTTTTTCTTTGGGTTCTCAAATGAAAATAACAGAAGATGGGTAACACAGAAGCGAGAATGATAGGAGAGCTAGACTTTGGGGCTCTCTGGCATACAGAGGCAGAACGCTACTTTCCACTTCTCTTGACGGGGGGCGATGGAAGGGCCATAAACCATATTTTGGTACAACATCTTCGGGGGTGCTCGTTCGTTTTGGCTCACATGAAATCGTCTTCCATCTCCTGCAGAGACTTGCTCTCCGATGCGATCTGCTTGTTGGATGTCATCTTCTCTGCCACCATCAATCCCTTGTAGCTCCTCACCTCTGCCTGCCTCTCCTTTTCCATCCTGTCCATCTCCTCCCGCCGTTTCTACCAAAACAACGGAGAGCAAAGCATCTTTGTTAAGCTATAATGAACAGAGGTGGAAAATCGGATGTTTTTGCAATGCCAAATTATGGATCAGGAGAAAATCAGAAGATTTATCAAAAGTGAATTGTGAAGACACATTTGATTCTGCACTTCAAAACTTTTGGAGGTGAAGATGGCAATACTTGCATGTCGTTCTAAGCAGTGATGAGGCAGGCTAGAAATCAAATGAAAGCCTCTACAAGCCATCACCAAATCCGCTAGTCAAAAAGCTTTCAATCCAGAACTAGTCAGCTTGAATCTAAAAACTACACATGACGTAAAAAGGTAATAAGACAATTGACCCTTATGTTCAGACTCCGAATGTGCAAGCCTACTCCAATAGCACCGAGATAAGGTCATGGATCAACATCCTAAACTGGATCCAGTTTCAAATAAACTTGCATGCTCGAGATGTCATATACATTTGAATTGCCAAGTAAGACTGAACATAAGATGGCTTACTTTATCTCTGAGTTGAAGCTTCCTCTCAGCCCTTTCTGCTGCATTTACAGCTTCCCTCTCGGCTGCACCAGTAACAAGGAAACAAGTACCATCAGCAATAGAAGTAGAGCTTGCCCACCACCAAGGCCAATACGGTTCAACATTTATGTTTCGAACTTTTTAGTCAATGCAGACGCACCAAAGAGGAGATGATTAGCTCACCTCTCAAATCGGGCGTTCTTTCTACTTTTGTTTTGTTCAGTCTGTTGATCACCTCATTAATCCGCTTCTCCACTTTCACTGTACGAACCTACATTATTCGATTGAGTCACAAAAATATATCAACACCAAAGTGACACATGGAAGAAGGATAATGTCCCAGTTGAAAGTGATGAGAACCAGAAAAATAAGCTCTCACCATCTTTGAATTGTGAAAGCCAACTTGACCAACATCCATTGTAGCTGTCTTCTTCAAGTTTGACCAGGGAGTGTAAACAACATCAATGTTGTTAACCTTGTTGCCTGGAAGTCGAAAAACAAAAAAAGAAAACTCAAAACGGTATCTTTACATCTCGCGGAAGCACATCATGAAGTATATCATAATAAATGGAAATCTGCAGAAGCTACTAAACCAACATCATGATGAAATAATGTAACAACAAAATGCAAGCTATGCAGGAGAGCTGTAAAAGAGAATCATTGCCTTGAATGGAATTTGCTTTGACAAGCTGGCAACAATCCTCAAGTAATCCTTCACTTATATTATCGAAAGTCTGACCCTTGTGCAGCCTTACATAAACATGGGCTGAAGACATTTTGTCGACATGAAACCTGCCACCATCCGCGCAACAAAATATAGTCTTAGCATTGATTGAAAATGCCAGAAACCCAAACAAACCAACAAAGCAACAATGTGAAAATAATCACAAGAGCCACCATTCCAACTGCCCTGAACACAGTAATGCATCATCGCACCAGTCAATGAAGCAAAACTTCCGACTAACAACACATAAAACCGAATTCTCTAGGTCAGTACAGCAATCTGCTGCTTTCTTGAATGGAATTAAGGATCATCAGCTTTCATCTTTCTTATATAGAATTAAAACCAAGCTAAAGGACAACCAAGCACTAAAAAACCAAATGGTCAACCAAATTTCAGATATGGGAACAAAAAGTTCGAAACTTTGAAACAGTAGCAACACCAGAAAATTGTAAACACGGGCAAGAACAGAAGCAGCAACCTCCAACCAAAGGAAGACCCCATGAAAAAGGGTCAAACTTTAGCAGACGGGAACAGTGGAAGCAAGCAACCATCAAATGGCGCTTCGATTAGAACATAAGCAATCAAGAAAGCTTTTGGGCAAGAAAATCGGATGAATTGTTGTTGCAGGGAGGGACAATTGAAAGGAGTAAAGGCGAATTCTTTACCAAACGTCTTCGGGGAAGCCGTATTTGATGAGTTCCTCGTTCTCGAACTTGTCGAATCCCATGAAAATGGTGTAATCGCCGACCTCTGGCCGTGCTTTGAAGTACAGGACCATCTTCTTCCCCTGCCTTCGTTCTTCTCGCAACAATTCAGAATCCCTCGTCTTGAATTTGTATTCGTTAGGGTTCTTCCTTTTATTCCGAATATTTTTGTTAACTTGCTGTGCTTGCCAAATTTCCAAAGAAAATTCGTCGTTAATTATTTTATTCTATCTATCCGACTTCTTTCTAGCCCAATATTCCTACTTTCTTATTTAATTATCGGTTAATTCACTTTCCATCTCTCTAGTATGCAACTTTTTCCAAATGTACACCTCAACTATTAGTTTTTTTTTATGTCATTGACGCAATGACACATTGTTCTTTATTCGAAATATATTGAGGTCCGAAGAACTTCGAGAGTTATACAAGATTCAAAGTTACTATTAAGCTTTTTTTATGCTCTAGAGTCTAGACTATGTAATTTTTTGTCAAAACGTCTATCCAACAAGTTCTTATATTCAACTATCTTTGTTCCCAGTCATTGGACAGGTAATTTTATTAATATGAATTATTTACTTGGAGTGGAAATATTTTGATCCGAAGTCGGTGTATGTGTTAAACACGTTTGATCATACGATAGCACCAATTCTATTGTGATCAATCTCATCAACGAACTTTGTCAAATAAGATATGTGATTAGTATCATCAATTAAAGTTTGCCTCACTAGTTAAATGCCTTGACAAAATAGAGTGTAGCATCCACAAATTGTGGGTTGGAATCCTAATGATAACTATTTATATTTTATTTTATTTTAATTGTAGTTAAGGGAGTGAAAGTCCATATTGTATCTTGGCTATCCACTAAATTGTTGCATACCTTTTTTGTTCTGTTTCCACTCATAAAGATAATTTATTATTATTATTATTATTATTATTATTATTATTTGATTGTTGATAGAATAATATGAAAATAATGTCGACATGGATACATAAGGATTGAGAAACTTAAAATTCTCAATTTTTGATCGTAAAGTCGTATATCACGTAGGAGTATTTTGCATATGATTGACATATTCGAAAAGGATTAACATATAAGCTATAAAGTTCGATGAATTCATGTTGCAGTTGTGTTTGAGGTCAGTCGTTAAACAAGTAACAAACCATAAAAACGCACATTTGCTTCGAGACAAACAAGCTAAAAGCTTATCAACAAGACAACAACACATCAAAGAATGAAAAACAATCATCAAAATATGATACACAAAGCTTAGGAGTCATGCACTAAACTTGTTACCTTGTACTAAGATTCCTTGGTGGTGTTTAGCCAAGTCTCATACTTTGAATAAATAAAGAACATTAGTGAAAGGCGTGTTTTAATTTTGGTATATTTTTCTTTCATATCCAATACAATTTATAGGAGTGAAATATGATAAGAATATAACTAATTCGATATCATCGGCTCCGATATAGACTGGATCGTTGGCCACCCCTAACAATACGATATAATATGTCTTTTGACTACCTCCCATATTTACTAACACAATCTTCTACAATGATCAGTTCTTCCTCTCTTTTTCCTTTTCTCCTTCAATCCAATAGGGACAACAAAATTTGTTACAATTTAAACACCTAATTTAATATGTATTGTAAAATTGTATTCCACGATACATATGGGATGTTTGGAAGTTAGAATTCTATAAATTGATGTATTTAATCAATGTATGTATTATAGTTGGATGCATTGTTTCAATGTATAAATTTGAAAAATACATTGTTTGGAGATTGAATGATTCTAGTGGTCCCTCAAAAAATAAAGGGAAAAAAAATTAAGGTTACAATCTCTCAAACACAATATATGTTGAAAGTTGAGATTGATAACCAATTCATTCTGGTGGACTCATATGTTGTTCAAATACAAGCATTCTGTTTCATTTTAAAACAAAAAAAAAACGAATTCTTCTGACTACATGTACTGACTAAATACATCATCCGAAATCTCAACTTCCAAACAAACCCCACCCGGTATCAACCAACCAACCTAACCTAACCCTAATATAAAACAATTTTACATCATAATAGCAAGAAAGCAAACGCAGTCGAGCTACGTCGTTTTATTGGGTTCACTTAAAGTCCGTTTGTTTTGTTCCGAACCAGTTGGGCCCGCTTTAATTAATCTACTTATCTCACATCAAGCCCACTTCCCGGAAAGCCCAAAACTACACAGCCTTTCGCCCTTTCCCGTCCCTCGTCTGCTGTCTTTGTTTTCCGATTGAACTTCCTCTTTCCCGATTCTTCTCTTCATCTCCTCCACTGTTCAATATCTACTCTTCCTTTCCTTTGTTCCTATTAATCGCAGGGAAGAAATACAAAGCAAGCGGTGAAGGGTTTTGGCAGAGAGTATTTGGCGAAGAGCATAAGGGCCGGCCATGTCAACCATAACTCAGCGGGGAAGCAGCTCGAAGTCCAAAGAAGAGCTATGGCTGCAGGCTGGCACTCTGCCGAAGGGCGAGTACGACATTTTCTTGAGCTTCAGAGACCCAGATGTTCGACAGACGTTTGCAGATTGTCTATACAGCTGGCTGGTTCGTTCAGGGATCCGAACCTTTCGAGACGAAGAAGAGCTCCACAAGGGGGAGATGATTGCCCCTTCCCTCGCTAAAGCTATCACCGAATCCAAGATCCACATCCCCATCTTGACAAAGGACTATGCTTCCAGTAAATGGTGCCTTCAGGAGCTGGCTAAAATGGTGGAGTGTTGGAGGCTAGGTAAAGGGTACGTAATCCTCCCAATTTTCTACTTTCTGGACCCTAGAGATGTGAGGCATCCGCTGCAGAACGGTGCTTACAGGGAAGCATTTGAACAGCACAATCTGAAACATGACCCAGAGACCGTAAGGCGGTGGGAGGAAGCTCTCCAGGAGGTCGGCAAGATGAAAGGATGGCATGTAACTCGTTCAGATGGGTATGTACAGCAACCCACAGTTTTTTTTTGTTTCCATGGTCTCTCAAATTTGGGTTTGCATGTCTTGTCAGTTACAGGTTTGCATATGAAGATAGTTATTTTGTTGCTTGTTAGTTTTGGGTAGGGGAGGGAGGAGAGTATCCTGCTTTGGTAGTGTGTATTAATCCATTCTCCTGAATTGTGATCTTCACATTGCGTGTTGATTCAGCTTTGCCCCTACGTTAGTGTATAACTGTTTATTCAATTTCCAGGCAGGGAGCTGTAATCGATCAAGTCGTCTCTGAAGTTGAATTGCATTTGAGGAGTCATTACACATTAGTAACAGATGTGTTGGTAGGAATTGATTCTCACGTAGAGAGAGTGACGGAATTGTTGAATATAGGGGGCTTAGGTGGGAAAATTGTTGGCATCCATGGTATGGGAGGCATTGGGAAAACCACCATAGCTAAGGCCGTCTATAACAAGGTCTGCACTAATTTTGATCGCTGTTGCTTTCTGGAGAACGTACGAGGAACGTTGTCAAAAGATGGAGGGGTTGTATCTCTACAAAATATGGTCATCAGCGGCATCCTAAGGAGTGCTCGTCAAGTCACAAATGCCAGCGAGGGAATCCATGTCATAAGAGAGAGAGTTTCTAAGTACAAGGTGCTCATTGTTCTTGACGACCTAGATGAAAACTTTGAGCTTGACCAAGTTTTGGGGAATTTAGGCAGTTTTCCTATAGAGAGTAGGTTCATTATTACGACAAGAGATCTACGAGTTTTGGAGTTGTTTGAAGAGTATAGCATGTATGAGCCTGGAGAGATGAGTTATGATCATTCCCTTCAACTTTTCAACAGACATGCCTTCGGGATAGATCATGAGCCTGCAGAAGAGCAAGCACCTCTATCCAAGGAATTTGTGAAACTTGCAGCAGGGCTCCCTTTAGCTATTAAGGTCATTGGGTCTCTTTTGTATCGTAGAGATGAAGTGTTTTGGAAAGCCAAGTTGATAGAACTGGAAGCAGTAGGTCCAACCAAGGTGCATGGGGTATTAAAGATAAGTTATAATGAGTTGACCCGCCACGAGAAACAAATATTTCTTGATATTGCTTGTTATTTTGTAGGTGAGGATAAAGAATTGCCCATCTATATGTGGGGCGGTTGCAAATTCCATCCAGAAACTGGAATCAGTACTCTGATCCTTAGAGCCTTGTTAAAAGTTGATGAGAAAAACAGGTTCTGTATGCACGATCATATTAGAGATCTTGGTAGAGCCATTGTGAATGAAGAGGATGTTGAACGTCCAGGCAATCGTAGTAGACCAATACTATGCAGGGAAGATGTGTTGACTATGCTCAAAAATGGAGAGGTACATATAAATTATTTGATTTTGTCAACATTTCCTTTTCATTTTCACTCAGTAATATCGACGGTTACAATAATTTTTATACAGTTTGCCTCTTACTGAGAAAATTCTTCATCGGTGGGAAAAAATTGCTTAATGCAGATAACTGATCGGGCAGAAATTCTTAGAATTGACATGACTGGTAAAGATCATTATGAGCTGACGAACAAAGAAGTCGAGAAATTATCCAGGTTAAGATATCTTGAGGTAAGAGGTGGACGATTGGTTGGAGATTTCAGTGGAAGTCTTCCAAATATGCGCTGGCTTCGACTGCATATGTGTCGTTCAGTCCCGACTAATCTCAACCTGAAGGAACTGATAATCCTTGATCTGTATAATTGTGGTAGTTTAGCAGATGATTGGAGAGTGTGGGGCAAGATTAAGGTGATTGGTCGTACAATTTCCTTTTTTCTTCTTCTTGTTCTCAGTTTCATTTCTCTGAAACAGATTTGCAACCATATTATGTACCATATGACTACCAAAAGATTGTCATTAAAGCACTTTATTCTTTCCAATTGCAGCTGGCTCACAGGCTGAAAGCTGTATGTGTATCATCGTGCTACGGAATGAAAAGAGCTCCTGACCTATCCCCATGTGCAAGTATGGAGCTGATAAAGCTTTCCTTTTGTCCTTCAATGAGTGGAGAACTGCACATTGGCAACATGAAGAATCTAAAATTGCTGGAGATAAACTCTACCAGAATAACAGGCTTAACAGGCGACATTGTAACGCTTCAAAGTTTGCGAGAGCTATATTTAAACAGCTATGGTTTAAGACAAGTCCCCACCGGAATGGTCAAATTGACGTCTCTGGAAAAGCTGCAACTGTCCTTAGCAAGTGTGACGGAATCACCACCACTACTCCCGACAAGCTTAAAGGCGTTATGCCTTTCATCATGCCCTAGTAAGCTTCCCAATCTTTTGGAGCTCAAGGACCTAGAGCACCTAAGCTTGAGCGCTTTTTCCCGCGAAATCATTCCTGGAGAGATATGTAAGCTATCCAAGTTGAAGACTTTGAGCCTTTCCAACTCTGAGGCAGAGCCTTTTGGTTCTGTTGTTGTGCTCCCTTCGTCACTAAACTCGCTTCGTGTTGGTTTCTGTGGGTCGCTGGAGAGGCTGCCGAATCTTGGCAATCTGAACAATCTGATGGAGCTGAGTCTTCTGGATGTTGGGGTTTATGAGATTAGAGGACTTGGAGAGCTCAGAATCTTGGAAACTATGAGTATACGAAAGGCCCCGAATCTGAGTAATCTTGATGGCCTTCAAAGCCTGCTGCTTCTCAAGAAACTGAAAATCTATGGATGTCCTGCACTAGAGAAACTACCCAGTGTTGCGAATCTGTCCAATTTACACAGATTATATATCCGTAGCTGTCAGCTCATCTCCGAAATGCAAAGCCTGGCTCCACTTCGACAGAATTTAACATCTCTGGAAATAGACGGTTGTCCAAGATTAGATATCTGTGATTCCATTCAGTCTCTGGAATCACTTCAAAGACTGAACTTGACATGCTGTCGTTGGTCAGTAGAGACACTATTACCTCACTTGTCCAAGTTGCGCAAACTGAGCAGCTTAACCATCGGGGAAGACACACAGGTACGAGTTCTAGACCTCTCTAGTCTTGATGTTCATTCTAATTTGAAACAGATCATGGTTTACAAGTTCACAGAGATGACCGAGGTTCTGGGACTCGAGGGTTTAGCCTCGTCATTAGAATCGCTAGGTTTGTCATGCTGCAATTCAATTCAGAAGCTCCCTGATGTATCTGGATTGAAGAAATTGGCGGACCTGAGAGTTCACAGATGCCCACGGCTGACCCAACTTGATGGGGTCGAGATGCTGGAATCGTTGCAAAGGTTGGTTGTATCAGATTGCAATTCGGTTAGTACTCTGCCAGATCTATCAAGGCTCACCAAGCTGAGCTTCTTGAACATTAGTGAATGCACCAATTTGGTTGATGTACCAGGGCTCGAGAGGCTGGAGTCGTTGCAAGAGCTAACGATGACATGCTGCACATCGATAAAGAAGTTGCCGGATCTATCAAATCTCAAGAAGCTGAAATTGGGGTGTACAAACTTCCCAGAGGTTACAGGATTCGAGGGACGGGAGTGGTCATCAGAGCTGACATCGGTACTTCTAGAGCATGAAACTCGGCGCCGAGAATCAGAGAGAAAAGGAGAAGCAAAGAAAAGGAAATGGCTGGCTAGACACTGGAAACTACTAATACGGTACATTCGGAAGGGGGCTCTAACGAAGTAACTTCGACGTGAAGGTTCACTTTTAGTCGAACTGAAGTCGAGAACTGGCTTATGTTCAGATCAACAGCTTCACCAACTTGCTCCATGTAACTAAATTCGTCGCAAACAGAAATGTAACGAAATGGTCATTTCATAAGGTAGGGCAAAACATGAGTTAATGATGTTATGTTAAATACCTGACACAAGCAACTGTTAGTGACCTCTAAACATATGTGAACCATTCGTGCATTTCTATACTACTACATGGGACTTGGCCCCTTCATCAATAGTTCATATATAAAACTAGGAACAACAAAATTTTTTTGGACAAAACTGGATACATGCAATTGAATAGAAGGACAAAGAACTGAACTGGCCATTAATCAATTACAATTTGGCCATTGTGGTCTAATAATGAATTTACAAATACATAGAAGGGCAAACCCAACAAGAATTGGCACAAATGACTGTACAATTCAACCAAGTACCCAAAAAAATCCACATAGTACAAGTTTTCAACACTTTACAAGGTTCATTTAAGAGTCCTATTTGCATAGATTCTCAAATCCCATGTATTCTTGTCGTTCAATTTTCCCGATCATGTTGGATATGCCAACACCACCTGAACAGAAGATCAGATAGAGAAGAATAAACAGTATTAGGGGGTTGAAGTGTAAAACAAGATATAGGGTCATTCACGGCTCAATTACACAAACGGTCATAAACTTTTAGTTGCTAACAAAACAGTCGCGCTAAAGATTGTAATAGCTAATACAATAGTCACTTCCATCTACGGACGAAATGAATTTAATGTTAGCTATTCCAAGGTTAACTAAGTGACAGGTTTGTTAAAAACCAAAATTTAGTGACTGATTTGCTAGCAAACGCCAAGTCAATGACCGTATATCATGTAAAATTATAGGACAGAGAGATCTCACCTAGAGAGATTGCACTGACGAATATGGTGAATGCTAGAATGAAGATGATCAGAGACGACCTTCCTAGTACGATGATCAATTTTTTCACGACGTGCTGCCCCACAATTGCAGCAACCGTTGCTACGGCAAAGAAGTAGACAGCTGCAGAAGAAGGAAAATAGTGAAATGAAGGTAAGCTCAAGCGATGGAAATCTGGAGGAGAGGAACTTCAGGAGAAGCAATGTATACCATATGGAACAGGAAAACGATGCAGGAGGTAGTATTCTACAACAGACATTGATGAGGAGAAAGTCATTGCAAATGTTGCAGTTGCACTTGAAACCTGCAAACAAATTCCATCAAAAAGGATATGACACCATGGTTTTCACCATGAACCACCTTTCCAGTTGAGAAATCAGCATCAAAGAAGAAGAAAACTCACCTGAGGAGGTATCCCTAGCTCCAAAAACAGTGGGCCCATTATGAATCCACCTCCTAGTCCAAGAAGCCCACCTACGACTCCAGCCAAGATACCGCAGGCACAGTAAGTCACAAGCTGGTGAACTTGCAAGTTTGTGCCTTGGTCTCCCTTGGATGCAATCATCCTGTGTCCTTTGTAGAGACTGAAAGCCTCATAGCCTGAGACACCAAGTGACACTGGGATCTGCACAAACAAGGGAGAAGTAAGACTCATCCCACCTTACTGGGCAAAATCGGCAGAAACAAAAATGATCAATCTGTCTTAATACCTGTAATAAGTTCAGTACCCAGTAGTTTGCAGAGCAAGTAGCCATACCATTCTGCCAAAACAAAGTTACAATAATTTACAAAGGGCTTCTAGATAGAATTGGCAGTAGGAATGTTCTGAGGATTAGCAGAAGAAGGAAATACCTTTGCAATCTGCAATATTAGGAATGCAACCCAAACAAATACAAGAAGCCCAAGTTCCTTCCAACAAACATTCTCTGCAATTGAAACCTGTAAGAACAAAAACCATTAGATGAACGTCTCTGAAGGAACCTGCCTCCAAATTCTAGGGGGTGGCTCTAACTCGCCTCTGCTTCATTGGTGCCTTTTCGAGGGCCACTCGGAAGAGGCCTGTATGCATTATCCCCAGCACCATTACCTAATAGAATCACACAAAAACAACTATCTGTCAAGTTTTGGATTACCATAAAATCAAGATAAGGCAAAGACACATCATAAATTAATACTGAGTAAATAAGCAGCAACTCACCGGTTGACTCGAGACGCCTAGCAGCCTCCTGTTACAATATGGAAAATTTTCTCAGTCAGAACAGAACTCATTCATGAATTGACAAAATAATGTAGTGAGAGATTACCTTCTTCATCATAGTCTCCTTTTTCCATGTTTCGACGCCCTTTAAGAATGCTTTCGATGATGTGACTAAACCATGAACGATCAATTAGCCAAAAAGCGATGCACAAATGCAGAATAACCAACAATACTATCTCAAGAGAAGATTTATTACCTACAAACAGAACAATAAGCAGGACAGTAACCATCCAGTCGGCGAAGATGACATTAAAAGTCACACCAATACTAATTCCTAGCATAAGCATGGGCTGGATGAGTAGAGCTAAATCGTAGTCAATGATTGGCATGTCAAGCGTAGGATGTCGTAGTCGAAGATTATAATACACAGTTGATGCAGCCGCACCCATTATCATACCTAAACGACAAGAAGATGGTCATAAACACATTTTGAATTCAATTAACTTCACCAATGCACTTTATGCCACTTAGTCTTAGCTTTAATGTCAAACCAAAACGGGCAATCTTACATTTAGAGATTGCAGTTGACGATTTGGGATCAAACCCAACGATCAGGCTAAGCATAGGAACGAAAATGCCACCTCCACCAACGCCACCCACACTCCCAAATGCTGCTCCTAAGAATCCGACAGTTGTACCCAGCACTATTTGCCATCCAAATTCCAGTTCCTGTACAGTCAACACCAACCAACCTCATTCATTTTTAGAACTACCCATCAAGTGTGGATTAAGATGAGGGCAAGAAGGCAATCATCATGGTAGGAAGCAAGTCCCTTTCTGTACAGAAATGGTTAAAGACAAAACAAAGGAATCCCGACGAATACAAAACTCCAAAAAGAAATGGAGTAGTGAGTTTAGTAGTAAAAATGGACCTTTTTTCCTCATTATTAAACAATCCAATTCGAATCGAAGTCTGGAGTATTTAAACCATCAAACAATCAAAATCATTGCATAAATAACAAAACAATTGAAGTCACCTGACATATTGGCAATAAACAATGAAGAGGGCATCTGGAGATGACATTTTCATCAAGTCCAGCCAAAAAGGATGCCATTTTTTGATTGGGGGAAAGGAGCAGGTGGGTGAGGCCATAGCCCAAAAGGGGATGAAGAATAATGTAAAATCATTCAATCATATTGGATATGAACACTCAACTACGCCATGAACGGAAGAAGAAAGAAACAAAAAAAGGGAAAGGAGAAACGACTGTGCATCCTTACCGGCCAAACACGCTGATAACCTGTTCGACCATTTTCCCAAAAGAAATCCGACGCCTTAACGAGAAACCCAGAGACAGGATTCTGCTCTTCCGTCTCTTCCAATCTGAAACGTCTGTCCGCCGAGACAAACACGACTGCGAACACCAAATTCAATAGAACCGTCGACATCGAGCCCAAAATCCGCCGCCTCGCTCCGCGTTCCGCCATCGGGTAATTCCACGGACAGAAATTGGTGGTTGAATTCCGGGCGACGAGGCTAGCTGAAAAACCAAGACAAAATTTGAATCTCTCGGCGACTTTGGGAGAGACTTCGTTGTCCACTTGGGAGGAAAGGCGAAGTCAAAAGGAGAGAACGTAAGGAGAAGAAATTTAGAGCGGAGGGAAAGCGGGTAACGCTTTAAGCGAAAGATTTGGAGCCCGCAAACTCTGGGGATCCTCAGATGGAAATGGAAGAGAGATTACAGGCCGCGTTTGTTTCCCGGGAAAGCGATTGGGAAATTTTTTGCGTGCGCGCGCGAGAAAATTGTACGGGAGTGGGGATTTGAGGAAGAACATTGAGAAATGTGGTAGCTTTGGATCGGATCGGATCGGGCTCAATAATTATTTATTGGGCTGGTCCAAGCCGCTGAGCTGGACTTATGGGGTTTCTGAATTCTCTATGATTTATCCACCGGAGGAGTTGTTGGACTCATGTGGCAAGTTGGAATCTGCATTATTGGGCTGCTCTGCTGGGCCTTTCCAAGTTTCGAAACTCCTGAGAGAAAATAACATGAATCTTTGATTGCGGAAATTTTCTACTGTCAATTAAGTGGTATGGTAATGGTATCTAAATTATTAATTTGTTTATTCATGATACATCGACTTGTTTAGGCTGATAAATGTTGGTTGAATATATTATTAACAATGATATTACATCTAATTGTGGAACCAAGAAATAACGAACTACAAGTTTGGATAATTAACTAGGCATCATATTTGCAAAGGTTCTCAAATCCCATATACTCGTGCCGTTGAATCTTTCCGATCATGTTCGATATGCCTACACCACCTGTGAAATTGAACCACGATGGTCACACTCTATCTCAGTGTTTTTCAATGCTTAATTTCTAATCACATTGCACGTTCAATAATTAAAAAGAAAAAAATGCTTTGTGAATAATTAACTCACCTAGTGTGATAGCACTGCCGAATACAATGGCTGCTAGAATAAAGATGATGATGGATGCCCTCCCGAGAAGACTAACCACCCATCTCAGCACATGCTGTCCGACATAAGCCGCCATTGTGGCCACAACCATCAAGTAAAGAGCTGCGTGATATATGAGAGATTTCGATAAACAAGAAAGACAATCAGTCTGTAAATCTCGTACTAACTTCAATGTCAAGCACGAACTACACAAACGGACTTGATTTTTTCGTCTTTCGCATACCGTAGGGGACCGGAAAACGATCCAGGAGGTAGTACTCCACGACAGACATCGATGAAGAGAAGAGCATTGCAAATGTTGCAGTTGCAACCTGCAAAACAAAAATTTTGAATAACACTTGTTCAATTGGCTTCAGGGCAAGAACAGAGAGGAATTCATGGTTTTTTTTTATGGACCTGAGGAGGGACTCCAAGCTCAAGGAAGAGCGGGCCCATAATGGACCCTCCTCCGACTCCAAGAAGCCCAGCCACAATTCCAGCCAGCATCCCGTAGGCACCGTAGCCCAAAAGCTGGCCCAACTTTAAGTTTGTGCCACCAGGTTCATCCCCAGCTGATGCAATCACTCTGTGGCCTTTGTACAAGGTTACAGCATGGTACCCTGATGCACCAACTGCCACTGGGATCTGCACTTGTAGAATGAAATCAACTGTATAATTATAGTACGTCGCATAAGATACATTATTGAACCTGTCTCAACATATCGGACGAAAGGAGAAAGTAAAGACTTTTTCGGGTGTGTTGTAAGGACTCGAAAATCCGATACTAAATTGCTCCTATGTCATGGTGCTGTAATGGATTACAAATCTGTTGGTTCAGTGGGATTATCGTTACCTGAAAGAAGTTGAGCAACCAATAGCTTGTAGAGCAGGTGCTCGTGTCACTCTGCAAGGAACAACACAAAGAAATGTTGTTTCATAATTATTGCGTAGGGGATGCCACGAAATCGTGTGATTCTCATGGTAGGCCGTGACCCTCGTTCCTCTTTTTGTCTCGTTTGGAGATGTCACGAAATGAGAGAAAAAGTCACGGTCTGGATCGTGATTCTCAAGGTCAGAACGTGATATTTAGTTTGAGTTATAAACAAAATATAAATATCACGGATGAAAAGTTATGACCGTGAATGTGAGTTGGATGAAGAGAGAACATCAAACCTTTGCAATCTGGAGGAGGAGGAATACAACCCAAACGAGCACAAGCAGTCCAAGTTCTTTCCAGCGTACATTCTCTAGAATCGAAACCTGCCGTGTGTGGTGCTACATTATCTAGAGATACTTTCTTCAAATCATATCTTGATACAAAAATGAAGATATGTTAGATGCGGAACTCTGCTGCTCACCTCTGTTTTAGGAATGTCGTTTTGAGGGTCACCACGAAGAGGTTTGTACTCGATATCCCCTTCATTAGCATCCAATAAGATCAAAGATACAAAACAATCCAAATAATAACGAATCACCCGACAACTAGCATCATCATGATCACTATTACTTAACTAAGATTTTGAATTTAAGCTTGACAATGTGAAAACATTCGAATAGAGATAATATTCCATCTTTACATTTGACTAACTAAATTTGAATGATGTAGTTAACTTAGAATACATTTACTCTAACTCGACAATAACGAAATGAGATGGAAGGATGAGTAACTCACTACTCCTTGATTCAACTTGCCTAGCCTCTTCCTGCAATGAAACAACCCAGTGAAAACCCTCAACCCTAAACGAACCATAAAGTAAACAACTTGTCTAGCACCCTCAATTGTTTTTTACACTCTCACTTTGACACTTTCTATACATAGCAGATCAAGGGTGAAAAAGATAAATAATAATATTTCTAATCACAAAGTCAATAAAGTTTCGTCGAAATCAATAACTCGAGTTGTCTAAAATAATATCCTACAGAAGTCGCTTACCCTTCTAATCGCCGTTTCCTTCTTCCATGTCTCAACTCCCCTCAAGAACGCCTTTCTTGATGTTGCTATGAGAGTTAGCAATCCATTAATCAATTGTATCAATGAATGCAGGCGTAAATGTAAAAGAAAAAAAGGGGAAAAAAACCAGCTCTAGAGTGAAAATGTGAAGTTGTAAACAGTAATTTCCTTTTTTTTTGTTTACCGATGAACAAGAAGATGAGAAGAATGGTGACCATCCAGTCGGCGAATATGACATTGAAAGCGACGCCGAGGCTGATTCCGAGCATGAGCGTCGGCTGGAGAAGAAGGGCCAAGTCGTAGTCTATGATCGGAATGTGACCGATGGTGGGGTGCCGGAGCCGGAGGTTGTAATACACCGTCGATATCGCTGCCCCCATTATCATACCTAACCCAACAACAACACAAACAACAATTTTGAAAAAAAAAAAAAATAAACGACCTACACCAATAGTTCATACGAAATCACGAACAACGCTTTGATTTAGTGGTAATACCATTAGTACTGAACCTCGAGATCCATGACTACTTTTGGTAAATTTCTTTTAGATTTGAACTTTCGTACACCCGCTGCTACCTGCTCTGAGTTACTTTTCAAGTTAATAGCACCACCCAGTGAATCTCACGCGACAAATATTTGGTATTGTGGAGAGACGAGCTATGATAGTGTGGTTTTATTGAAGAAGGTTCGTGAATCAAATTAGAGAGGGACACAAATGATATAAGTTACGGTACAAAGTCTAAACTAAAACTTACAATACTCTATGTCTTACCACAGCTGATACGAATTACGTCACCCCCTGATGATCTATGATCATATAACTAGTAATATATATATAATTCGTATTAAGTGTGGTAAAACACGAGATTTTGAAAGGTTTTATTTGTTTATATTTTGGAATGTGTACTCCATCCTTTCCCCGGTCAACAAATTGGTAACATACTAAACATTGCAGAAAAAGTAGAAAAATTGAGAGAAAAATAAGGAGAGGCGTGTTGCTGTTTTACATTTAGAAATAGCAGCGGCGGATTTAGGATCAAATCCAACGACGAGAGTCAGCATAGGAACGAAGATGCCACCGCCGCCCACCCCGCCGGCGCTCCCAAACGCCGCTCCCAAGCTCCCGATTATGCCCGCCGCCACTGCCTTCCACCCCAATCTGAACTCCTGCACCAGCCATACAATAAAAGTAAGGCGGAGAATCAGAGCTGCTTAACAGATAAAAGTAAGGCGGGGGAGAAAGTAAATTAAATTACCGGCCAGACGTGCTGGTAGCCACCAATTCGCTCGGATTGCCAAAACGATTTATTCACCGGCGGCGGATTGGCAGGATACCCATCACCGGCGGCGGTGAGGTCAGTAAGAAAGTGGTAGTCTTCCATTTCCTGGACTACCCTTTCAGCTGGCAGCCTCAACCGTCCTTCTGCCGACCCAAACGGCAACAAAAAGCAGTAGACGCAGATTATTACGACTGCCGCCGGAGTAGTCCTTCGCCGCAGCCGTCCATCTCGGAGCCCCGCCGCCGCCGTCATGATTGGATTTGACTCACACCCGCCGCCGGCTGCCTGAAGCCCCTCCTCTGTTTTTTCGTCAATGAAAGCAGGGGACTCTGTTCGCTAGAGAGGAAAGAATAAAACTGAAAGCTTTTGAGAACCAAGCATTTGAGAGATGATAATTGGGGCAGTTGAGATGATGTATCGTTGTTGATCATGAAAAAGACGTTACATTTGGAGCGACATGGCGCTGGGTACACAGGGCCTCTCGTGAATCATTTGTACTTCGAGGTTGGAGGCCCGTTTTCTTTGTTTAGCTCGTGCTCGAATCAATGGTTTTGCAAAAGAAGCGGATAACATAAAATAAAGCCATGAATTTTGTTTTCAGATTTTGCAAAAAGAAATCTTGGGAATGGATGTGAGATTTGTGTTTTAGAAATAGTGTGATTTCATACCAAATTTAGGGGTGGGCAACCGGTTCGGTAAATCCGAATCGGACCGAAACTGAATTAAACCGAACCGAAACCGAATTAATGCTATTTGTTTCGGAATTTGGAAAGAAAATATCGATATTTCGGAAACCACGGTTCTTTCAACCGAATCGAAATTTCGACCGAAAAACCGACATACTATAACTGCAAGCTCCAAATGGTGGATTTTTATGTTTGTAGTTGTTTTTATACTTAAATATTTGAAATATTTTATTAATCATATGTTGAAAACTTTGATTTTATCATTGATGATGCATATAATTGCATATTTATTATCTATAATAAATAATAATTCGGTTTAAACCGACCAAACCGAATTATAATTCGGTTCGAATCCGGTTTGAGATTTGGGAGAATTCGGGGACCCGGTATTCATAATTTCGGTTCGATCGAAACCGAACCGACCGAATGCCCACCCCTACCAAATTATATATAGACGGTTTATGGTCTAGATTGAGAAGTTGGAGTATAGATCAGAGACCAGAGTAAATATTACACAGTTCAGACTAGATTACGTTTGTGTAATCTAGTTCGATACGGTCTGAATCATGCATACCACATTAAACGAGAATAATGACAATCTTGTTTAGTCAACCACACGAATCCTATCTTTTTCTTAAAACATAAAATTCCAACACCCGGTGAGTTTCTACCCAGGAATGCTCGGTTGTAGCCTCTGGTGCTGTTATTTGGATTGCTTGCCATTAGTGTACCTGTCAAGGTAAAGTTAAATTCTCCTTTTCTGATCGATGGCCCTATTCGATCCAAAAGCCAATCTTCACGATGAGCTTTTTATTCATCTCTTCCTTGTTGTTATCAAGTGCAGTTGAGTTGGTACTGGAGAAACATCCATGATGAGGTGCTGATATCTGGTCAATTTTGTAGTAGAGATTAGAGAAGTTAAGCTAGCAACAGCCAAAAAAGTTTGATTCTTTTCAGCCATGGAAGAAGTGGGATCTTGTTATTCCTTCAAAAAGCTTTCTGAAAGTACTGATCAGTGAAATTTTCATGGGGCCATTTTTGGTTATTGCAAACAGGTAATGGATTCAATCTTCAGCAGCCTTACCAGGGAGCTTGCGAGTAGGTAATCTGGGAAGTATCGTCTTTGACTGGGAAATCAAGGAAAAAGTGAAAGCACAGAGCTACCAATTAAGCCTTGGTGTGTTCTGAACAAGTTTGCAGATTGATGTGAAATTGGAGCCATGATTCTGTTTGTATGAATTAACACGAATCCACTACATGAACATTGTTACAGTCAGATTAAAATGTGAAAAATTCTCAGTGTGATATTATGGATTGGATGGACAAAACAGCACCAATAAAGAGTTGAGTCTGAAGAGCACAACTCAAGATGGCTTTCCATCAAGCAAGGAAAGCAGTTCAAAAAAATAAAAAAAACCAAATATCAGAGCCTGGTTTCGATCCAGGGACCTGTGGGTTATGGGCCCACCACGCTTCCGCTGCGCCACTCTGATTGTTATTGTCAAGCAAGCAACTATGGGTAAAATAACCCATGAACAACAAAGAAAATATGGAAGAATACAAGAGACAAAGAGCAGGTTAGAAATTTGAGAAATCAAGCAAATCACAGAGCTTAACAACTTCAACAAAGCAATTGATATTTCACGAGTTTTCGTATGAACACGATTGAGGGTATAGTACCACCAACGATAGTAGTTCTTACATCTCGTATAGTCGTATTAACAATCAAAAGAGAGAGTCTCGATTTAACAGTACGAAGTTCACTTCATCCAAATTCGGATTCGGCAAATTTTCATCAACAGATGCGAAAGAAGAACCGGATTCGCAACAATCAGTAGGGTCACAGATAGGGAAAGGCCTTTTTCAACTATCTACACCACAAAGTTCCCCTCTGCCTGCCCCCACTTTGCCAAAATGCAGATACAAGTAAAAATGCGTGCTTTTTTTTTCTCCTTCTTTTGTTTGATCTCCATGTACCATCTTTTCAGTTCAGGAATCCCACTGTACAAGACTGTGCAAGCTGACCATATACACCACCGCAACGCAGCACCTGACACTGCTTCGGACACACAACCCTCGACGACCTCGACCCGAGTTTACAGCTGTAAGAAAGATTCACCTGTTTAGTCCCAAGCCACGAGCATTCCGTTGAAGGAGGAGAATCAGCAGTCGGGTCTCTCAGCACGATCCTACCGCCTTTCTTAAGCGACCCAGACGACCCTGTTGCGATTTGCTTCTGATACAGTTCCTCTAGGCTTTCTTCTTCTGCTTCTGCTGCAGCAGATTCCTTTGTTAGTCCACTGGCAGCCCATGCTTCCGAGACAAGCAAGTGGGTTGACTTCTCGGGCTCGACCCCAGACTCTCTCATGATTTGGAGGACCTCTTCTGCCTTCCATGGCTGTTTGGCTTCACCGTATCCCCAGATTAAGGTCTCAAATGTCTTCAGATTGGGAGAGATACCGTATTCACGCATCTGGTTGTAAACCCTCATTGCAGAATCCATTCTGCCAAGACTGCACCATCCGCTGATGACGGTTGTGAAGTTCACGACATTCGGGGGGATTCCTGATTCGATCATGGATTTAAAGACCTCTTCCGCTTTCTCTGGCTTACTTGCACGAGCATAGCCTTTGGCAAGAATGCTGTATGCATGTGCATCGGCTTGAATTCCTGCATTCACCATGTCATCAAAGATCTCCCTGCACTTGTCCATGTACCCTGCTGTGCTCCATGCGTTCATCATAGTACTGAATGTAATGACATCAGGTTTCACGTTGAATTTTTTCATCAACTCTAGGACCTGCAGATTAATACAACCACAGATTAAACCCAGATAAAGAACTAGTGCATGTGCATCAGTACAGTTTAATATTAAGGACCGGTCAGGGCTCACCTCATCAACCCCTGCTCTATCCATCTTGTCAAGAAAGACTTTGATCAGCGAGTTAAAAACAACAAGGTTAGGGCACACGTCAAATTCCTTCATTCCGTAGACAAACCTCAGAGCTTCGCTTGCTCTTCCTTCTTTCACATACCCACTAATGATAATACCACAAGTTCTGTCATTAGGCTGTAAACCGTGCTTCCGCATCTCTGGAATCACACCTTCAGCCTTCTTTGGCTCTCCTTGCTGCACATAAGCTGATGCAATTGTATTATAAGTAACTGCATCAGGTCGAGTCCCTGACTCCACCATCTTATTCACTATATTCCATGCCTGATCGATGTTCTTGTTACACCATGCTCTAACAAGAACATTATAAGTCCTGAGATTCGGTTTCTGGTTTCCTTCCTTGGCCATAAGTTCCACCAGCTTAGTAGATTCTTCCGGTCTACCAGCAATGCCATAGCCTTTAACCAGTGTGTTGTAAGTGCTGGTTTCAGGTTTCATCCCATTCTCTTTCATCTTCCAGAAAGTTTTCATGGCTTCCTCCATGTTCCCGGATTCAGCAAAAGCATTGATCAGGGCATTGTAGAATACTGAATCCGGTTTCAGGGCATTCCCCTCTACCTGAGAGACGATAGAGGCTATGGAGTCGAAGCGCTTCTGCAGAGTCAAGGAAGTCAAGAGAGTTGTGTATGTTACTAGAGATGGTCTGTGGCCTCCCTGAATCAGACTGTCGAATATGGGTTGTACTTTCTCTGGCTTTCCTCTGCTTATCATATCATTCATTTGACTCGTCCGTGATCTAACAATTCTACAGAAACTTTTGCTCATGCAGACTGAGCAACTGACTGCACTTGGCGACTCTGCAGACCTTGACATAGGAGGATGTGCTTGATTCTCGTTATCAGGATTATTCACCTGCATCACAAGAACAATCCCATGTTTCAGTTGTGCACCTCAAAATTCATCACTCCCACATATCACTTGAACTCATTCAATACATAGCCACACAGAAAGCAGTAAATGGTATTTGCATACTACTTTTACAAGGTGAGTGATAGCCATGGATACCTTGATCGGAAACAATAGAGACCATCCTTTCTTCATAGCAGTCGCTCCTCCTGCTGCATTTCCATTATTGTTTCTGAAAAAACCATTGTCCTTGCAAGACTCTTCCATATTGAGACTGCCAATTTCCGTGCTTCTTACTTCAAAATCCCCACCGAATCTAAGCCATCACGTACTCTCTACTTCAGCCCTTAACAAAAGGAACACAAAAATCTCAAGAACTCCATGACCGATAACTCACAAACAATAAGAAAGTAGAAGTAGAGAGACTCAGGCGGGGATTCGCTCTCCATCCAAACAAGTATCCAATAAACATGGAAGCAGAATCACAAATTAACACAGCCGCACAAGAAACAAGTTGCCAACTGAAACGAAGCAGAGATCGAGCCAGAACAGTGCAGAAAAGGCTATCCAGAAACCCTAAGGAACCAGAGAACCCACCGTAACGGGAAAGGAAAATAACAAGACTCCGCCAAACACACAGTTTCAAGACTAGCGGACCAAACGGAGAGATGATCGACGCAAGAACTTAACATAAAAACCTAATCATTTCTACCGCAGAGAGAAGACGAAAGAAGCAGTCGAAGTTCGCGCCATGGATACGCGATCCAAACAAAGCCAAATCAGCTCGAGAAATAGACGAAAACGAAGCAATAAGCGCCCACCAAGGACGGTCATTAGATAGTGGCAGAAAATGAAAGGAAAAAGGAAGTAAGAAAAGGAACTTCTAGTTTACCAGTTGGCCGATCGCCATTGGAGAGGATGGAAGGAGGTAGCAATGCAGTTCTGCAGCAGCGGAGAAAGAAAAGATTGGAGCGGTGGACTTCTTGGAAGGCGAGCAAGGAGGAGGACGGTGGGCTTAAGTAGCTTACAAGCCTGTTGCTAGTGGTTGCAAGAAAAAAGGGAGAGATTGCAGTTTAGGACAAAGAACAGTGAAGATAAGACCGCTAGAAATTGAGGCTGGAAATCTTTTGACATAATCTCATTCCGTATTGTTTTGTTTGATTTCTCCTCTTTGCTTCTCGTACAGTTTTCCTCTTTTTTTCCCTTTATCTTTAAGAAATTATCCTTTGATCCAAAATAATTTTGATAAATCATAAATCCATGGAGGAAATTGTTTTGTTAATTTAATTGATATGATCGATTGGTAAAATCAAGTAAATCATTAATATTTTTGTATATTGAAAACCTAATTATGCATATTAAATATGGAGATGGGATCATTATGCAGACACATTAAGAATGATGCGTTTACACTGTTTTAAATTTCAACCAACGATTTGTTTCTTGAGAATTTATTTTCTCATTTAGAAAACCTATCCTTCATAGACTACCAATAAATTAGACTAGATAAACCATGAAAAATAATAGAGGAATAATACATTTTCCACTCCAAAATTATGACAATATCTTTAGCATAAACATAAACATAAACTAAATTTACTTTGATTATGCACAGTAGTATACGATGAGATTGCTCAATCAACATAAACAATCTTCACTTTGCTTATACGTCATAGAATACAATGAAGTTGCTTTTGTAACGCTTCTCTATAGCGACTTGCGAGTAGGGGTGTTACTTGTTCTGATTTTTAATTTGATATTTATAGGAATATTAGCAGATTATTTAATTAAGAGGTGTAATTAGTAATTACTATAAATAAATAAAAATATAACGGTGGGTCCATCTTGGCGTTCACATGGCCCACCCATCCAAAAGACAACTTTCCGCGGGAGATATGAACCGAAAAACTCGCAGAGGCTGGAGAGAGAGAAAATAAGAACGAAATAGCCGAATCCGAAAATTTCCCGGGGAAATTATTGGAAGCGAAGGAAATTCGTTCTTCCGCGCATAAGGATTCCGGTTCAGAGATACAAAAAACCCAAGAACAGAGATTTTTTTTTAGCTTTGATTTGCGGAGGGGATTGCCGTCGACGGAGTTATCAGCGGAGAGGGCTGAAATCATTCCCGTTTCATTCCCTCCCATGAAGACGAGCTTCATCCTCAGAGTTCCTTGCTTCTTCCCTCTTTGATCGCCAAATCCCTTTTTCGGGGGAGATGTTCAATGTTTGGACATGGTTTCAGTATTGCTTAGCTGTGCATCCGTTGAAGACAGAGGTGATCAGCTCTGGCTTGATTTGGGGTGCCGGTGATATTGCTGCACAAGCCATTAACAACTACACGGCCGCCGCCGATAAGCCCCTCGTGTTTCAGGTGCGCTTTCTTGCAATCTGGAAGATGGGTTTTTAAACCTCCTCGTTCCGTTGTAAGCTTGTAGTCGTTGGTATCGTTCTTTCTGTTTTGTTGATCGTGGCCCTTTCTGGTGGATTGTGTTCTTCGTTCTTGTTGTGTTTGATGAAATGCCTGAATGGGGGAGCCTCTGTATCTTCTCCAATGTGTGCTTTGCTTTTGATTCGCTTGCTATCCGTTTCTGATTGAGAAAGAACAGATTATGATGTCAGTCTTATTGAGATAGTCCTTTCTGTAGATGATGGATTTCTGTTTGCTGATGTTCTTGTATTTCGAAATGATGCTAGGATGATGAAAGGCCTGAGAAGATAAACTGGAAACGAGTAGCGACCACGAGCTTGTTCGGGTTTGGATTCGTTGGACCTGTCGGCCACTTCTGGTGAGTCTTTCTTTCTTCTTGGTTTCAATCATGGAAGGGATGAATTGTACGGAACTGGACTCGAGCTAGAACATCGGTTTTCATTACAGAACTGGACATGATGGTTCTCCTCTGTCTGAAACTTCTTGTACAGGTATCAAGGTCTAGACAGATTCATGAGGTCACAGCTATTCCACCCCAATTCGCTGCGATTCGTTGGTGTCAAAGTGGCGATCGATGGCTTCATCTTCGGGCCGTTGGATCTGCTCCTGTTCTTCACGTACATGGGCATTGCTGCTGGGAAGAGCGTCCCACAGATCAGGGACGATATGAAGAGAGATTTCCTCCCGGCTTTCATGTTCGAAGGTGGCATATGGCCGATCATTCAGGTGGTGAACTTCCGCTTCGTCCCTGTGAAGTATCAGCTCCTGTATGTCAACTTCTTCTGCTTGATAGATAGTTGCTTCCTCTCGTGGCTCGAGCAGCAGCGCAATGCTCCCTGGAAGGCGTGGGTGAACTCCTTGGTACCTTTCCAAGGGGAGAAAGGGTGAAGAAAGGAAAAAGGTTAGATCTTTGTCCTATCATCACCCCCTTCAACTATGGAGAAAGAGGATGTGAGAAAGATGAGTTCAGGGAAGACCTCAAGATCAAGGCACTTACAGATTTGCCAAGAAGACATGGAAAATGATTGGTAGTGTTTTTTCTTGTTAACACAATTTTGACCGTACATAGTAGGGTTACATTTGATCATCCCTTCTCATTGGGGCATAAATACTGATCATTTTTTGAATTTGTTTTTGTAGTCAATTTGTATATTCTTACTCTCTTCTGCATGAAAATGATGTTGGCAACTAGTACTTCAATATTCATACGTATAAATTGTTTAATTGCGAGGCAAAATTTTCCCATTGTTGAATACCTATTATAGACAAAATTGGACAGAAACTACAGTTCTTGACAAATGAAATAATGTACCAACCTTTGCCTCGAAGTTGTGATCAAGGAGAATATTCGCTGCCTTGATATCGCGATGAAGGATCTTGGGATCACCTGCATGCAGAAATATCTTGTTGTGAGCTTCCAGAAAGCTATAATCTAGTAGGCATTTAAGGGAAGAAGACTGAAGACTTACAATCCGCATGCAGATAAGCCAGTCCAGACCCAACAGAAATTCTCCATCTAGATGCAGATAACTGATAAGGCGCTGACCTGAAGCAAGGGCTATCCTTGCCAGTTGCCAAAATCCACTGCAGATAGTGTAGCTGGACCTTGGTCCTTGATGAGAAAGCTAGGTACCATATCATCATCATCCGGTTCATGGCCATCTCGAAATTTTCAGGTCTGATCTGAACTTCAATGCAGATGATAGTGAACCTGCTATGCTGTGGCTTGATCAAGCCATCAATTCGCCGATACCTCTGTACATTTACTGATTTACAGTGGCCGCTAGAAAGACCAGCGATTTTCATATTCTCTGCTATTGAATCCAGTCCAACTTTGGCAAAACAAATCTCAATTTCAACATGCTAATGCCCCTGATGATTCCATATCCTTCACAACAGAATCGACTTTCTCGGTCAATCCAGCCCTTCGATATCCCGCAACCAGCAAATCATAAGTCGATCTTGTGAGCTTATAGTATCGGGTCACATGTTCCAGAAACAAATCAAGCCTGTCATAAGCTTCTCGCCTGAAGTATGCAGAGATTACCCTCTCGACATCACCTGGACTGCTAAACGACATCCCCTGGCTCATCATCCTCCCAACCGAGTATTCAACATCATCCAATCGATCCAGACTTGCATACAGCCTTATAATCCCACAATGCACCTGCAACAAAGCTTCACCAACTTGATTGAACTCGACAAGAGCATCGAGTAGCTTTTCTATTTCGTCTGGTTTCTCAAGTTCACAGTACAACTTCACAACCTTCTCAATCAAACTGCCAGTAATCTCAAACCTACATTCCATTAGAAAATTCACAAACTCCTTAACTCTCTCACAATTCCTCCTCTTACACAGCCCCTCAAGCACAGAATCCAGTACTTTCTCGCTTGGGGCGATTCCTTGAGCCATCATTTCGTTGTAAAACAAGTCAGCTGTATCGAAATCTTTAACCTTCACGCAGCAAGAGATTAGAGATTCATAGTTCAGTAAATTCGCAGAGAAGCCAGCTTCCCTTTTGGCCTGGTACCAAGCTCGCATTCTGTGAGTATCTCTAAAGTTGGAGAACCCCGAAATGAAAGTATCGTAGGTTTCCGAATCCGGCCTAAACGTTTCAGAGCCATCCATTATCTCGAACAAGCTTAGGGCAGTAATTACCTCGTTTGAGGACAAGCAAGTATGAATCAGGGAATTGAAAACTGAAGCTGTGACCTGAATCCCACAATCCTCCATGGAAGTGAACACTGACATAGCCAGCGGGACATTTCGAATCTTAGCACAGAGAGATATCAAATTGGAGTAGAGGCTGCGATCCTTCTCCCCGTCGTTGACCATTCTCTCCAGTCTCCATTCCAGAACCTGAATAAAAAATGGATAGAAATCAGAAATTCTGAGCAACTTTGCAAACAGTGGATTATTCCATTTCCTACATTTTTCTCAGAATCCAAACAAAGCAAAAAGGAAAAAAAAAATGCTCGGGATAGGATTTGATGATTACGAGCTTGGCTTTCTGAGGAGAAGACGAGGCGAGACGCGCGACGAGAGAATCCGAGACAGCGAGATCGGAAGATCTCCCAGCGACGACGGAGTCCTCGGAGTCGAGCGCGCGTTTGATTTGAGAGGTCGAGAGCTGAAGCAGTTTGGCGAGTAGTGTATCAGCGGAAGCAACAGCAGTGGCGGAGCTGCAGAAGCTACGTTGTTGGAAGCGGAAACTGTCCGGCAGTGATTGAGCCGCTACTCCGGCCGCCGACGACGAGACTCTTCTCCATGCCGCCGCCAATGCCATAATTGCTGCTTCTGGTCTGGACAGTCAGCAACCGAGTCCACGTTATAACGGGGTTCGTTGATGGGCCCATTGGGCTCAATGGATAGGGATTACAAGTTACACCCTGGTTCGTTAATGGGCCGGGCCCATTTAGTTTGATGGTAATTCTCCGCCTTAACCATTCACAGTGGGAGTTGGAAAAAGAAAATTTCATTAACACTGAGAATTTGAAATCAAACCTGCATAATAGAGATCTAAGTATAGAACTGTTAAAAATTTCGTCATAATATCGCGATAAAATCATATCGACTGGTTACTGATACATGTACAGTATCAAAAAACAGCAAGGAAACCAACATGGGAATTTTACAGGAGAAAATTGATTAGGGTAGCTAAATAACCCTAGAAACAGCAAAGATGTATCTGTGTTGGCCTCATTATACATTCATCTACAACTACATATCTAACCATCTCAAAACAAAGAAAAATTTCCATCCCTATGCCTGTTCATTCATGTAAGAAAACAAAATCTCAGGACAAACCAAACCGGGACAAAGCTGATTGGAACAGAGCTAAGAATTCGTGTGACGTGCTCTGATCCTCAGCCTTGATATTCAGTTGTGCTTTGGTTGTTGAGGTATTGATTTTACACTCTACAAGAAACACGGATGGCTCGTCCGCTTTCTGTGCAAAGAAGAAAAACTTGAAGTTAGGTGACTGACCCCCCGACGCAATGCACTGGATCGAGTTGCCTTGCATGTGATGGAGGAGAGCTTGAGGTGATGTCAGTGCCGCAGCACCTTGCGAACCTAACTCACATTCCTGCAATCACAAAAGAATTTGGAACCTTATCAGGAATGTCTGAGATCCTTGAGTAAGGACTAAGGTAAGATCATGTTCCATTGATTTGAATCCATTAAAATGAACAAATATAATGTTGTCTACTTGCATTCCTTCTGCTTCAAATTGGGAAAAAAGTAGAAGTAGAGAGACCGAGAGTTGGATACATACCTGAGATATAGCTACAGGTAGCTCCCGCCATTTTTTCTGGAAGCTTCCTGCATCTAGGGCAGCTCTGGCATTGAGCTTCAATGGTGGCGGTGCAGAAGCAGGAGCCGGAGGGGCTGTTAGATCTAGACCCATCAGTAGATCATCAATTGCCGTGGAAGCCTGTGGTCCTGGATCTGCTGCTCCTAAAAGGCCTGTAATTGCCAGCTCGGATTGCAAAGGCAGAGCTGGATTAGATGAATCGTAGAACGGAGCGGAGTAATCAGAGCCATTAGCGACCATTGCTCTTGTATCTTCCTTCTCGGAGGTACTCAGAAGCAGATCACTGGTTTCATTTGCATCGACACTGGTAGCTGGCACTACGTGTTCAGACTCGGCCCCAACTGTAAGATTGCCAATCTCGTCTGAGAACTCAAATGGTCCCCGGTGGTCCTTATCTGTGAACATGTATGATGGCTGCAACAACGTGTAGACATTTATCACTTCCAACCAAAAACAAAAGGCGAAGAGAAAAAAAAAAGGTAAACTCAATAAATCATTGTCAACATCATGGTCTCATGATTCTATATTTCAGTTTCATCTCTACTCTCTCAGCCTTTTCCAAAGCCTATGTTCAGTTTGTTCACCAAAATTATTCTGACTCTTTTTGAGTATAATATTTTGTTTCAACCATCTCCATTATCACTCTTGAACAATGAAACTTCAAAACCACAAATCAACTATCACGAAAACCATTGCAAACAATTGATAATCTCTTCTAAGAAACAGAAAGCATAAAGTCATACATGACCAATTACCTTTTGGTACACGATAGATAGACTGTTAAATTCATCAAATATGCGATCTTTGATCTCATTGCTCTGTGTATCAGCAAAGACTGAGACAGCTTGCTTCGGAGGATTCACTACACGCTCTGCACTTGATACGTCATATTGCAGTAGTCTATAGTAGAACAACGCTCTATCATGGACATCCTGAAAACCAAACAAATTTCAAACTGAGCATTTATCATTTCGACTGTGAAGGTACTTAGACAACGAGCTACCCATTTTATAAATAGGCAAAATAGTGAAGTTTGATGGAAGCACTAGCACACACAAAGCAAAGATCACCTGATGAAAATCAGACAAGCCTGCAGCCAATGCCATTCCTAATGCTTTTTGAGTCTCGGGTGGTCTTCTGAAAAAGCACTTCATTATTGCTGTGAGAAGGTGCAAGTGAACCTGCAATAAATTATGGCTTGTAAAGATTTAACAGAGAGGACACAAAATCATGTGAAGATGTCACTATTCAGAAGAAGTCTAATAACAACCTCAGGAGCATCCTCTTCCCAGTTCTCCACCAAGCTCTCTAAAATATAAGGAGCATCGTCCATGTCTTGTGCATATTCACCCAACATCCATATAAGAGCTGCTTTTGCCTTGGGCTCTTGCACATTTTTGCTGCTTATATTCCCAACAACTGCAATACAGTCATGGCTCCACTGAGGGTATTTTCTCAACAGATCTTTGACAAGTACCTACACAAAATAATTTATGTAAGTCACTCCTATTGCATGCCAAAGAAAAGTCGTTGGCTTCATTGCAATGTAGTGTATATGTTTGGTATATAAGAGTAGAACACCAATTTGTGCAAGCTTAACATTAGGATCTCAATGTGATCTGAAAGTAGATTAATTACCAGAGCTTCAGCAGTTACATAGTCCTTTTCCATCTCCAGAAACTGAAGAAGCCTATCAACGATAGCATTCACATCATACTGCTGCAGAGCAATTTTCCCAACAGCACGAATTGATTCTCGTGCAATAGCAACATCAACATTTGCAGCATACTCACATAATTCAGTCACTGCAGTTAACAAAGGAACGTCAGAGATTATCATACGTGAAGATATTACCTTGCAATGCAAGCTTCGGAGAACTGTTTACTTACCAATTTCATATGTATTGTTTTCATTTGCAACTGCAGTCAACATTTCAAGCTTCAATTTCTTGACATATGAAGGCTCATTGTACTGACAGTAGAAGTGTTTATAATCTGAAGCGAATATGTATGGAGCACGCATCACCAAGAGGTGAAGGTGGCTTAATACAGCATAAGATTGCTCTGGACTTCCGGAACTCACAAGGGTGAGCAGAGGGGCTTTAATACGTTCATATACCTAAGCAATAGAAGAATAAAACACATTAGCCATATATCTCACCTGAATTTCATTCAGTGACCGAAACCATTTCATAAAAGAATTGCTAGTCTTTACACCCAGTGTGATAGTTTTGTAGAGAGCTAAGCAAATGTTAACAATGGCACATGAAAAGAAAATGACGAGGATGCATAACTACATCTATAAAAATTACTGAAATGGTACAATTAATAGGACTAAGCTAACATTGGATGTGCTTCAATGAAAGCAATCTTAAGTACTTCAGACTAATCACATTGCACCTTAGAGATTATACAAGCAACATACAAAATTTTCGATTTCTATACATCCTTTGCTTCCCAGGCTCAAAGATTGCATTATAGTATCTTCGACAATACCTCCTGGTGAACATCGGCCATTGACAGAGTCAACTGAAGAAACACTTTGATGGTTGCCAATACAACAGCCCCATTTGCATGCTGAAGTCTATCTTCAAGAAGATTCATGATGTCGAAATTCTCATTGGTATCAGAAGGCACATATTTTGCGACCAACTCAAGCACAAGACACTGACCCCATTCATTAAATTCCCTAAGCCTGCAGTAAACAACAGAACAGAAAATCGAACATAACCATTATCATACATTATTCAGAAGTCCTTTTCTGAGGTCTATCAGGTGGCGAAACTTAAAAATGTTCCCTTGTTAGTGTTTAATACCAGGGGAGCACCATTACTATGGACACATGATCGTTTTGTGAATCAATATCTTTGTTTCAACGTGAGCATGGGTCTCAAAATCATCGATTCTGTCCGATAAGAAAAAGATACAATAGTAATCTAAATGGCAGATAGCATACTAACAATCAATTCCAAGCATGGTTATTATCACCGGATTAACATGGAAAACGAAGCTACTTTCAGCTGTAATCAACTAAAATTTGCACTTAAAATATTACTCCGACCCTTCTCCCTTCGCGGACATCCAAAAATATTGTCGCTCCTACTTTTGAACCTATTGCCAAGGAACATACCTATTCAAAAGGTAATATATGAAGGGCTTGCTGATTAAACCTTCTTTCTCCCTTGCTGCTTCCTCAGAAGTACTTGATTCCGAGTTCCAAATCTCTTGCAATGCAGATAAACAATTCGCAACAACCTGATGAAACACGAAATTCAAAACCATTTCGAGGTTCGAAAATGTTCACCCCCCCAAATCCCAATTCTCAATGCTAGTTACCTGGGACTCAGAGTCATTGAGCATCAAATGCTTCAAAACTGCAGGGAAATCAGCATCAAGGCAAGTTGAAGCAGATATATGATACAGCTTAAGAGCTCCCATGACAGCCACCGTCCTCACATAAGCATTGTTATCTTTCAAACCCGAACCCAAAGGCCCTACCAGATACTCCACCAGATTCGCCACTCGCAACGAGCTCAAGCTCCTCAATGCAAGCCCTCTGATCATCGGGTCCTGGTCTTTGCAATCTCGCTGGAGGAAATTTATGGTCAGAAGAGCGAGATCAGGGTTGACCTTGGCGTAATTGCCGACGTAGAGGTAACACATTTTCTTCAGCACGATGTCCGGCGTCACGGAGCACATCACCATCTCGCCGAAGAGGGACGAGACGTCGATCCCGATCGTCATGTACGAGATCACTTTCTTGAAGAGCTCCCGCTTCGCATCGTCCACCCCGGGAGCTCGGCTCCCGGCGAGCTGCCGGAGCTGCGATCTCAAATCCGACACTTCACCTTTCCTGCAGACGAGAACCAGTTCCATGGTCAAATTGTGGGGAAACGCGAAGTGAAGAGGAATGGTTTTGTTTTGCGAATGCTACTGGACTTACCCGGACGGTTGTGATGGAGAAGGATTGCGCGAGGACTGCGCCGGAGGAGCCATGGCCTGACTAAAAGTCGAACACAGTAGCCGAATTCGGTTAGATGGTGGCTCCAAGGAAGACCAGAGATGGGATGGAAGATCTATGGAGTAGTGAATGAAGACGGACGGAAACAGAGAAAGCTTGTTCTGTAGATCGGACGAAAATTCCCAAACAGTACCCAAACTTTCAATGTCTTACTATTTTTGGTTCAATTTTATAAAAATAGGTAAATTTACTTTACTACACGGTATATAGGTTCGTGGTGACGACACTGAATCCCAAATTGCATAAATACAATGCAGAAGAAACAAGAGGCACTACTCACGCAATTCAAACATAATTCCTATTACTCGAGAAGAAGAAACAGGCCATCAACGTACCACCGTCGTGCACCTCAAACATGCTTAATCTCAGACATTTGGATTGTGTAATTTGCAGTATGATGCTTCAGATTTTGGTCATAATAATCGTTGCGATTAAACGACTTCTCTTACATTACTGCTTTCTTGTAAATGAAGCAAAACAGAGTCACTTCAGTGCTGTACAAAATAAAGCCTGTGAAAGGGCCATGAAAAATCAAGAAACAACATCTCAAAGATCGTCTATGCACATTTGATTACCTTTAACTTGTGAATCTGATCCTCTAAAGGAGCTAGGTTTCAAGACACAAGAAACTCCCTACTCTCGACCATCAAGGCACTAAAAGTAAATATCACATATAACAGCAACATTACTGTCAGCATCATCTCAGGCCTTCGATTTCTTGCGATCTCAGCTGGGATCTGAGAATGCTCGAGAAGTTCATTCACACCGGTAGTAACGAGCAGATCTCTGGCAGGGTTAATTATTGTTCCATCTGGAATGACATCATCAATCAGATTGGTTAACTGGCAGCTTCTTCAGTCCTGGCATCCACAATGATGAAATCTCAATAACTCTATTGCTTAATAATAGAAAGTTACAACTATGTGGGAATAATTAGGCTTGATGATAACAATAGAAGGATGGTGGCTTGAACAAGCCACCAATCAACTTATAGTATAAACATGACCAAGCACTGGCATTGCACTAGAACTGGAGGATATAAGACTACTAGAATCCTCACAAGAAATTCCACCACACAACTCCGAACCGAATGGCAATATGATGATGCATTTTCAGTAATCAAAGACGACAGCGAAGAAACCTACAAATAAGAAGCTACAACATTGCTAATTTTTACACCACAGTCCACATGACTTCCTTTTTGTACAATTCTCAGTGAAAATGTTAAATTTCTGTGTGATACATTAAGCAACTAACGTCAAGAGAACCGTCAAAAGCAGCAGAAGACAACAACAAAAGAAAGGTCTGCCAAGAAGTACATACTGTGCCTCATACAACATTATTTTCCCTATAAAAGCCATACTCTTTCCAAAAGAGTGATTCAAGATCAATCCCATACACAAGATTATGATTGTACCCCCAAGATCATTCCGGTAAATCAATTGGCAGTTCAGTACTGGGGCAACTGTAAGAGCCTCATTACAGCAGAGATCACTCAGCATGGCATGATCTAATAACCAAAATTTACTTTCACTTGAGCAACTGCCCCAAGCTATACCTTAACAGCTAACCAAAATGCCAAAAGAAAAGCCCTTTCCGCCATTGCATTTACGGAGCCGTACTTCTGGAATTCAGTGGCATTCGATATGAACACATGAACATGAACATAATACTTTGAACCGTTCAATGCAGAGGGAAAATCCTTTGACTTAATCAAACAACCACAGAAGGTAAGAATCCAATTTTGAAACTACGAGACATACCCAGGACCAGAAGCAGAAGAATTACGGGCGTTGATGCTGTTGTAGTATCTTGATAATCGTCTGGTCTGGGGTTTGAACTTAGCAGGTTTCTTACGAAGACCGAAAATCTCTTGAACCAGCGGGACGTGAACCAGCACCAGCTTCCAAGCTAACAACCAACCTGAGAACATTAACAAAGGAAAAAACTCATCAGAATCCTAGCAAAAGAATCCCTAAAAAGATGAATTTGAGTACAGGGGTGGCACCAACCGAGAGCTATGAACACGAACACGAAGGAGATGGCCGCAATTGGACGGAGAATCAGTAAGACGATGTAATCCACAGGCGACGGCGAACTCGAAGAGGAAGAAGTGGCAGCGGAATCCATTGACGACTAAGCGGTTCTAAATAATTTTGGCGGGAACAAAGAAGGACGGCTGAAGCTTCCCGGGGTTAACCAGATCGTGCCTGAGATGAACCGGGATCGCGCCGGAGATGACGTGTAAGACGGACACAATGGAGAAGCCCTAATTTGATAGAACAAGCAAAGAAAGAAAGGGTGAAGATTGAGGAATGAGAAAGGAAGGAGGTAAAGCGAGCGAGGGAAAAGGCAGGATTTTTTTAAGAAAAAATAATTATTAAAAAACAAAAAAATGTCAAAAATCGTATATTTCAGTTTCGTGCAGCAGGCCCTATCTAGTTCTGGCTCCGACGAACGAACAAGGCGACTGCTCCACCGTAAGAAAGCAGCAATGGCGGTTTTAGCTCACTTCCAGAAGCTCCACTTCTCCACCTTCCTCTTAACCCGCGCACAACCGCCGCTGTCGTCTCTTTCGCGCCAATTCAACTCTACCCTCTGCTCCAAGCTCTACCGACTGCCTACCCTAATCAGGCCCCAATCCGCCCTATCCGCCGCCGAGCCCATCCCGGTGACTCAGCTTCTCGAACCGCCGCCACCGGCGGAAACCCAGTCACCGATTCCACTCGACAAGCTGTTCGTCCCGCCGGAGACGCAAGTCTCGCTCGACGACCCGACCACGAGGGTTCTCAGGGGCTCGAACATAGTGCTGAGCAAGTACGCCAGGGATGCTCAGGTGGTGCAGGCCGAGTTCGTGAAGAGCAGCGTGAGGACGGAGGATTGCCCCTCCGATGGGTCGCCGGAGTTCGCCCTCGTCGGGAGGTCGAACGTCGGGAAATCTTCGCTTCTCAATTCGCTGGTCAGAAGGAAGAAGCTCGCCCTCACTTCTAAGAAACCTGGTACGTAATGGTGTTCTACATTTTGTGGCTTTGAATTGGGAAATTTTGTAGTGGAAAATTTCATTTATAGGTGTTGAAATTGTTCCAATTTTGAAGGGAAGACGCAATGCATAAACCATTTCAGGATCAATGAGAGCTGGTTCTTGGTGGACTTGCCTGGATACGGGTAATGGTTCAAGCATTGATCGATTCTCGTTTAGGAAAGTAGGAATTAGTGCATACTTGAGTTAGACTCGTGCTGCGATTTCGTCTGATGATAGATTTAAGCCAGTATGATCTTCTGTGCAGGTATGCTTCTGCACCACACGAATGTAGGACAGATTGGGCCAAATTTACCAAGGATTACTTCCTCAACCGTTCAACATTGGTCTCTGTGTTCCTTCTCATAGATGCAAGTATCCCAGCGAAGAAGATCGATCTGGAGTATGCAAGCTGGCTTGGTCAGAACCAGGTAAAAAAGGAGAGAACTTCTTCTTTGTAGTTGCATGAATTGACTTGTATCTGTAGATGGGTGTATGTTTCTCTTCATCGATGAACGAAGGAGTTGGGAAGTTGAACGATGATTGCACAGTTTTGCTTTTACTGATTGAAAAAGATTTGGATTTCTCATCCGTGATCTCATTTTCATGCTGTGTTTTCCAGATTCCGATGACATTAGTTTTCACGAAATGCGACAAGAGGAAGAAGAAGAAGAACGGAGGGAAGCACCCGGAAGAGAATGTGAATGATTTTCAGGAGCTGATTCGTGGTTACTTCCAAACGACGCCCCCTTGGATCATGACGAGCAGCGTCACCAATCAGGGTCGTGATGAGATACTGTTGCACATGGCTCAACTGCGAAACTACTGGCTTAAACACTAAAAGGTCGATTGCTGCACAGGAAGTTGTCAATCCAAGGCTCTCAACTTTGTGATAATGCTCCAGTTAAACTTCCTGACTTGGTGGAATGCTGGAAAGGGTTTGGTTTCTCCAACCCTTTGTTTGGCTCAGAATGCTGCAAACTTGCTCACAAACTTCGCGGAGTCTTCTCGTCAAGCTATCTTACCTTGCTCACAAGCTTCGCAGTGTCTTCTTGCCATGGTATGGCCTGGAAAGAAATGTATCGTTTACGAAACATATCCCAGGGCCGAAGTGAACCATTTGATCGAGTACTAGAATATGCTTCAAAGTTCAAACTAATCTTGTGTGAGAAACTATTACTCAGTTGTAGTTCTACAGTACATAAACACTAGACAGGATCACTTGGGGTTTTGCCCTTCATTAGTCTTGATTTGTTTCATCCGCTTTCTGTTAGCATTTCTTGTTTCCGACAGAAAAACTCGAATGTGTCTTGCATTTTCTCCGACGTTGATCAACATTTAACATCTAACATCAAGCTCTGAACCTCTTGTTCGTCAACAAATACTATTGGGGTGAATTACATTTAACATATAACATGAAGCAACGTCGGCATACATGTCGACCGCTGCACAAAAGGAACGTAAATTTATTGTCGAGCCATCAATCAGAGAAAACGCTTTACGACCTTTCTCGAACCGTTTATGCTCCATCATCACGACTAAACACATTTTGACTATGAGTTTGTCAATCAGCAATTAAAGCTAACAACAAACAAAATATTTAGCCTTAATAAAACGAACAATGATCCATTGAGTTTAGTTAAATTAGACAAGAGTCACACTTCACTAAATAACATAAATAAATAAATCTACAAAATAAAGAAAAAAAATTAAAAACTAGGGTAATAAATTTGTTTGTGTCACAGAAAAGAATTCTACGTACAAATTGCACTCCACTCTTTGCTGCAATCGATCGAACAAGCTGCTTTCTCCTCCGGAAAAAGGAAACCAATCCATGTTTTATTTCCTTCTGCAAAATTGATTTAGCAGTTTTCGAAAGAAAGGATTCGATCGATGAAAGAAAAAGAAGAAGAGGAAGAAGATGATGATGATGCCTCGTCCCCGCTGAAATCAGAGATCGCAAAGCTTCGTAGACGATGGGAGTTGGCCTCTGTTCTTAATTTCTTCAATGTACGTACGTAACATTTGCTTTCTCATTCCCCTGTTTCCCCCATGCAATTGATACTGTACTGTGCTATGAAGCTGTTAAAGATGTGCATTCACATGGCAGGTTTTCGAGCCGGTTATCGGTAATGATTCGTTGCTATCCGCGGAGGAGATCGAGACAGGTCTAGTCAAGCCAAATGAATCACTTGCGAAGCTCCACATCATGCTCTTAAAGGTATACAATCGGATTAATTTGCGCGTATCTATAAGCACGTGCTTACGCGTACTCAATTTCGCGGTTTAAAGTTCGTTGTTACGATGTTGAATGTAACAGGGGATACCTCCAGTGAGCAAACTGTTGAATCGTTCTGATGGATGGGTCACTGTTCTGTGTAAGAAACTGGCTCTATGGTGGCCATGGGTACGTATGTTAATTCGTTGTATCGTAATCGTTTATGCAGACTGCAGTACTAGAACTCTGAAGCATGAGTGCATATGATGCAATTTCCATTTTTGCAGGTTGCTGAAGGTGAGATACCACTGATAGCAAGTCGAGGAGGGTATTTAAAAAAATCCAATTTGTTGCAGTACTCTTGTTTTACGAATGAATATCAATCGATTTTCAACGGTCGATTGTGACATTTTTTTTGGCTTTTGATTGATTGTCTAGTGACGAGATATCGAAATACAAGGACGAATTGGATCCTGTGCACCGTCTGCTGCTCTTGAGGGCACTCTGTGAAGTCCGAGCTGATGTAAGTTCATCGAGTTTACGAACCATTTCGCGACTGTATGGTACTTAAATTTCGTGCGATCGATGTGATGTGATATGTCGTCGTAACGTTGATCTGCAAATGCATATGCAGCAAGTTGATGCATTGTCGTTCATCAATAGCGAGATGAAGAAAGGAGGAGCTCATCGAGTTTCTTCCTTTCGCAAGGATAAGATTGGAGGAGATGGAAGCACATCCTACTGGTGTGATGGGAATGCAGTTCTTGGTCACAGATTGTACAGAGAAGTTACTGTAAGCAAAAGGAACAGTGCAAAAGCCAAAGCCAAAGGGAAAGCATGTAAAGCCACATCATCAACCAGTCAGTGGGAGACCCTTGCTACTAATCTCCAAGAATTTCAGCAAGCTGTGGTAAGTAGTTGATATATTAATTACTTGTTCAAGTTACAGAATGCACACTTGGGGAATGGTATGACATGGGTCTTCACATATTTCAAGTCCATTAGTTGATGAACTTTGATCCAAACAACTCGAGTTAGTCGAACAAACATATATAACTCAGTGTCGCAATCGGGTGACCATATATAAATGCAGGAAGAGCTGTCATCTAGCAGGAGGAAAGCAGAAGCCTCTGTCTGCAACAAGATTGAAGCTGATGTCCTTCCTGAAATGGAGAAACTCCAGAAGGTACATTTTAATTTCTTCATTCATCATCTATAGTTATGCTGATAACTATTAGCTTTCTGATGAGATGCTTAATTTTACCTGAATACATAACAGAAGAAAGATAGGGCACTGAAGAGGAAACAAACACAGGAGAAGCTCTTGAATGATGTTAGGGCTTACACCACTACTGGGCTAACTCGATCTTGTCGAAATCGTCGACTAATCAGTTACACATTTGGTATGTTCCCATCATTGTTTCATAAATATTCCGTAGGAGTTTTCGAGCCGAAGTATATCGTGCACCCTCAATTTCGTCAAATGCACGTTGTGTATGCGCGCTCGAAATTCAGGGTGTATCGTATCGGCATAAATCGAATCCTTGCATACTGTCTGTTTTGCAGATGAGTATGACCGTGCCATTGATGAGGCTATAAAACAACAACCAAAGTAAGGTTTGATTTACTTGTTTGTAAATGTCCATGAAAAGTACTATTGGATCGTGAGCACCTGATATCACACTTTGTTGTAACAGGAAAAGGAAAATGGTAAAAGAGCAGAAAACTATTACAATGGAACGTGTTGAGCAAGCAACAAGCCCTGATTCTGGTACCGAGGAGTCGGGTGCTGATACAGAGTCGAAAGGAACTGATGACCATGATGATCAAGGCAACTCCTCATCAGATGATGATGGAAGTGGATCAAGTGGCCAAAAAGAAGTGGGTGATGATGAAGAAGAAGATGATGATGATGATGATGATGGCGACGACGATGGCGATGGCGCTGAGGAGGAGGAGGATGATGATGATGATGGTGGCGGGGATGATAATGAAGCAGATTCAGAAACCCAAAAAAATGATGAAAATGGGAATGAAGAACATAGTGAAAAATCAAGTGAAGCTGATAATGATGAAAATGATAGTGTTGACGATGACACAAGTGGTGGTGATGATGATCAAAACCAAGTTGATTCAAGCTCTAAAAGCAAGTCTGTTGAGGAAACCCAAGACACAGGGGACAAAGAATAGGCTTATATGTTTAGGGGTTACTTTCTGCTCCAATTGTATGATTTTAGCGACGATATTGGTAATAGTTTTTAATAAAGTTTTCGATGACATTTGTCTGCATAAACTATATCATCGTGGCATTGTTTGTAACTTGGAAGCATTGGAACTAGAAACATATTCAACCTGTGTATTTTGTCAACGGTTCTCGAACTGGTATGAAAGAGAAGTGTCAAAGAGAAGTGTCATTGCGGCAATTATTTTTCGTTGTTGTTGGGACATTTTTATGCACATAGGAGAGTCTTTGTAGTTTGTTTCACTGTGAGACGAAACACAAATAAATACTAATATGAGCATAACAAAAGCACAATGACGTAAATTACACTCGATTTTGTATCGAAAACAAACAATTAAAAGCCGGCATGACACGAGAGGAACAGACTCAAGCAGAATTGTGTCATGCCGGGCCAGTGCCGTATAGTTCAAGGCAACTTTCCTGCCGGACCTAGATCTCATTTAATAATCCTGTCCTACACAATTTGGGCTCACAATCTGCATCCTTGGGCCTAGCCTAGGAACATCCGCACTAGTCCAATTACCAGACCAGATCCATCACTTGTTCGGCCCAATGTAGCCCAAAACCGAACCCGAGCAGTGTCCCCGACCGACGACAGGTTGTCACTACTAATATTCCAAATCCCACCCAGGAAACTGCTACCAGACTGGAAAGAAAGCGGCGAAACGATGGCATCCAATTCCACCGCCGCCGCAGCCGCCCGAAGGAGAAAAATCGTCGAGCGAGGCGCCGACCGATTAGCTCTCATCACCGGCCGGCTCTCCTCTCTTCCTCCCGAATCCTCCTCCGACGCCAACCTGAAGCCTTCCGCCGACTCATCTCCCCAGCCGAATTCCGATCACCAACTTTATCCTCCGCCGCACCTCCTTCCCCATGGAGTCGCCGCCGCCGAACCAGTATTCCAGCCGCCCAATCCTCCTCCGAACCAAATCGAACAGCCGCTGCTCCAGAAAACAAATGGTTCGTCTCTGTCTCTCTGAAAAATTTCGCTAATAAGTTTTCTTGACCTAAACAATCTCAAGGAAGCTTTGCGGCAATTTGCAGATTCCGTTAGCGGTGAGGAAGAAACCTTCGGTAGGGAACTACCGGAACAAGATACCGCCGCCGTTGATTCCGCCAGAGACCACGTCGGCAGCGTTTTAGACCGTCCCGTTTCGGATGAAATTAGCGGCCGATCGGATCTAAATCCGACGGCCATGGGAGCCGCTTCCGGCACAGAGCAACTTCTCCTCCGTGGAAGCACTCGTCAGAGAAGAGTTTCGATGAGTCCAAGTCAGATAAGTTCGGGCATCACAGCATCAGAAAGAACCAGAGTTCTCTGTTCAGTAGCTGTCGCCGTTTTAGTAGTCTCGTCATCTCTAGGGTTCCCTCTCCTTGGGAGCGATATAGTGAAGGGAATTCTGAGCTTCAGGCCGCTTTACCTGCTGCTTGTGACCAATGTGACAATCGTGATCGCCGCTATCCTTTCGAACAACGACCGGAGAGGTTCAGCAATGGTGGATGATGGGGCAGCAGGACTCGAATTGTCGTCCGGCAGCAGCTACGATTGGGCTGCACAAGCAAGCAAGGCATTAGAGATAAGTTTCGTGGCGAAGAAAGCAATCGAAGCCTTACTGATGGATGTCAGCGTCTACGCAATCATTGTTGTTTGTGCTTTCTGCCTTCTCCGATGAGAACACAACCCCGACGAATCCCCTCGTGTTGTTCTTTCAATAATGTAGTACGAACAATTCTTCTGTGTTCCGATTGTAATGGAATTGGCAAATGGTGTGTTTGGAGTTAGCAACTTAGCATTAGATATCTTCTGCAATAGTCTCGATAATATGATCACTTATCTCGTCAAAAGAAACCAACATCTCTAGCAGCTCGAAGATCTCGTTCGAGAATGGCTTAGAATCGTCGCCAGAAGCAAACTCTTGAACTACATTGTTGACCTCGATCGAACTACACCCGGGAGTTTTCTTCATGCTGTTGCTCCGAATCAATGTTCGCATTCTCGAAACTCCATCCCACTTGCCCTGGTCCGCATATATGTTGGATAACAAGACGTAATTCCCTGTGTCTTCTGGTTCGAGCTCTTCGAGGTGTCTCATTGCGATAACTGCAATGTCCAGGTTCCCGTGCTTCCTGCAAGAACTCAACAACGAACCCCAGATCTTCGAATCGGGTCTCACGGGCATCTGCTGTATGATACTCAGGGCACGGTTGAGCTGACCTGCTCGTCCAAGAAGGTCTACTAAAACTCCGTAGTGTTCGATTACTGGCTGTATCGAGCAACTGTCTTTCATAGAGTCGAAATACCTCAAACCCTGCTGCCATAAGCCGGCATGAGCACAAGCTGATAAAAGACCGAGATATGTAATGCCGTTGGGCTCAATCCCTTCCAGCTTCATTCTCTCGAAGAGGTTGATTGATTCGAGAGCCTTGCCATGATTCGCTAGCCCACCGATCATCGTGCTCCATGATATCACATCCCTCTTAGGCATTTTATCAAACAACTGACTGGCTTGATCAATGCAACCACATTTTGCGTACATCTCCATCAGTGCATTGCAGATGTTTGTTTTCTGCAACAACCCTTTTCTGCCGCTATACATATGTATCCATTTCCCTACCTCGAGAGCTCCTAACTGCGCGCAGGCAGGTAAAACAGAGACAATGCTGATCTCATCCGGCTCATTCCCCGCCATTTGCATCTGTCGAAACAAATCCAGCGCGTCGGCATAAGACCCCATACGACTGTATCCAGTAACCATTGCAGTCCACGAGACTATTGTTCTTTGAGGCATTTTGTCGAACAGCGCTCTCGCCTTCCTCATTTGACCCAACCTCGCGTATCCAGAGATAACGCTGTTCCATGAAATAGCATCTTTCTCAGTCATTTCGTCGAACAGCTTGTGGGCAACTGCCAAATCATCGCACTTCGTGTACATATCGATCAGCGCGTTCTCAGTGATCAGGTGAGACTCCGGCCCGAACTTGACGACCTGAGCGTGAACCTGCCTGCCCAGTTCATGGCTCCCCAAGCCCGCACAGGCTTTCACGACGAACGGGAAGGTGAATTTGCCAGGAGATAGATTCGTCATACGTAACATCTGCTTGTACATGGAAACTGTTGGCCCATACATAGAATTGTGCGCATAAGTTCGTATGATCGCATTGTACAGGAACCCATTTGGTTCCTCCACTTGGTTGAAGAGCATCGTCGCGTAATTCAAATCCCGCGCGGCGTCGCAGACGTCCAACATTTTCGTCGCCAGGAAGTTGCTCTGCGAGAGCGAACGCTTCAGAATATGGGCGTGGATTTTCTTCAATTCTGCCGTGTTTCTGCAGTTATGTAGAATGGGAACGAAGAGGTCTTCTAGCTCCCTGATGCTCAACGTACCAACTTTAAATGCCATCACTGATGAATGATGATGGCTGAAAACTTCTTCACAGCGGAATTAAGGAACTTTGTCACTTGCAACACTCTGACAGAGAGACAGCCACGTATGTGTTCATAGAAACGTATGGAAAATGCCAGCCGGGAGGTTTAAGCTCATAATGTGTTTGACGGAATGCCCCAATGAAAATTTTGTTTCTTCGACGTGTCTGTGTTCTCTACTATGGCCTCATCTCTATACTCAAAAGTCATCTCTTCACGCTTCCAGCAATCTTTGAGATTGTGTAATGCCTTTCGAGTGTTGCTGAGATTCATGTGCTAATTCAAGCAGATTGTCTGAAACCCAGACGCAATCAGCGGACTTGGATTGCAAACGCTATTCTAAATCTTAAAGCAATCATGGTTTGGCTGGAAGAAGGCAAGACTACGATTTCATTAATTAACATACAGTGCAAGTACAAGAAAGAGGAACCCACTTTATCCTAGCTACACACTCTGCAAAGTCCAACGGTATGGGTTATATTCTTCTCAAATTGGATTCCTGAAAAATGGATGACCCAGAGCATCTCTGGCAGTTAATCGTTCTGATGGATCGTATTTAAGCAGTCCGCGCAGCAGATCAACGAGCAAGGTCCTAGAGCTCTCTGTGTGTCGATACACCATTTCCTGAATTAATACAGAGAATGCACAAGTTAGTTGAAGTCCCAAAAACCAGGATTCTAACTCAGCAAACGGAATTGAAAGGGAAAGTAGTATTCACCTTTAAGTTGTCAAGCTTCCTCACAGCTCTAATACTCTCCCTGGAAACCGCTCCTTCTGGCCAATTCAATCTTGTTCTCCTGAAATATTTTTCGGCTCCCCGACTGCAAAATAACATGTTGTTAATCCTCGAGGATTTAGTCTTTTGAATGCCATAAAAGAAAGGGGAAGAAATTATTTACATACTTAGCCTTAGAAATCATGTGCTCTGGCAAAGGTCCTAATACCCTCTCCATCATTGCTAAATGTTCTAAGTTCTCATGTGTCTGGAATAGTGCTCCACCCTAACAACAAGAAAAGCCGATAAAGTAAACTTCCATTCGCGATTAAGAGTGATTAGAAGAACTTCCAAAACGGAAAATGGGTTTTACACATAATGACACTAACCGTACATAACTCCACGAGTATGCAACCAACACTCCAGATGTCACAAGGGTAACTCCATCCTAAACCTGCGAGAAGAACATTATGGAACAAGTTAAAATAAAAACACAATTATTTATGATTCTTTTACCCTTGAACATGCCCCTAACTGATTATCTATGCAATGGAATGTAAAAGAATTGAAGAAAGAGAGAGGGAGAGAAAGAAAGAAAAGGGAAAACTCCACAACTAGATCACTTCAAACAGTTTATGGGGCTCTGTAATGTCTTGCAGACCAAAGTTCTTTCGTATATCAGCACAATGACCAACAAAGAAAGAGTGGAAGGAACATATTCATTCACTGGCAGATCAGCAATGGTTACCTAGGATAATCTCAGGGGCTCTGTAATGTCTTGTAGAGACAATGGAGCTATGGTTCTTATTATCATATGCAGTACTACCAAAATCAATCAGCTTAATGGCACTCGACTTTGGCAACCACCTATAATGTGTTTCATCTGAAGATGCTCTCTGTATCATTTCAAGAATACGGTAAGATT